TCCAACAATGTTCCCCACCGGTTCCATCTCTTTCCGGCCGCTGATAGACCGTTGTTTTTCACAGCACGATATGCTAGGTTTCTGGTCTGCCTTTGAGAGCATTATAAAACCCTAAAACACAGGACTTTTATCATCCTATGAACATAAAACCCCGTCATCCTCAATCCGATTTATCCTTGCGATTTCCAACCAAAACATTCAAGGTGTCAGAAATACCGGGTTGCCGGGATGGGTATTTTACAAACAATCGCAGCTTGCTCTATGACCGGCACAATCGACACACCTGCGGCACACTGACAAAAAAGATTACCCAAGATTGGTGTGCGGAGTGACCTACCCCTTGCTTATACAGCTAATTTTTGCCTGTATAAGCTAGTCTGCAGCTAAACTTGTTTGTTGGGATGTTCATAATAAGTTTCCAGAAGCAGCATTCCGGGTACAAATTTCATCAAAGAGAAATAAATGTCTATAAACCTAATATGAAGAAAAAATTTCTCTTCGCAGAAATTTATGCCCAAGAATTCAGCTGTTGGCCACACAATTTTCTTAATTTATTTATCTCTCGAATTTTTAGGTCCCAGCATTATAAAAATGGTTCAAAATCTCTAAAACTTATCCCGGAATAATACAATTTTATTCTATATCGAGATTTTAAGTCCTATAACATTTTCTATGCCCGTTACTTTTCCGTTTTGGAAGATCTTTAAAATTTTAAGTTCAAAACTATGGCAATCGCCCAAACTAAAACCAGCTCCCTCTTGTACTGTAATCACAGACAAACAGACGTACATCTTTGAATAAAATTCAAATAATCTTCAAAACATTAGTACCACCAAACATAGGACTGCAGTAACGACATCTCACGGGATTCTCGCGGAAAACAAGCTTGCTCGTTGATTCGCAAACAATGTTGCATGCAAGAAACACCGAATATATAGAAACGTCAAAGCACAGACAAACAGACGTAACTCTTTGAAAAACTTGTTCTTGAAAACATAGTATCTCAAAACATATAACCTCAGTAACGACATCTCTCTGGCTTCTCGCGGAAAACAAGCTTGCTCGCTAACTCGTAAACAATATTGCATAAAAGTTCTATAGAATGTATAGAAACGTCAAAGTGATCTGATGCCAGCGCTGCGGCGAGTAGTTCGCGGAACTGATAATATTCAAATCAACCGCTAAATGCATGAACGAAGATACACAATGAAGAGTTACGTCTGTTTGTCTGTGGTCAAAGTGATCCGATGCCAGCTCTGCGGCGAGTAGTTCGCGGAAACGATAACATTCAAATCAATCGTTAAATGCGCAAACGATGATCCAGAATGAAGAGTTACGCCTGTTTGTCTGTGCTGTAATCATGGATGGCACAAGGGTTGAGCGGTCTGCCGAAGTAACCTATCTCGGGATGTTGTTCGATGAAAAGCTGTTTTCCGTTCACATGTAGAGAAAACTGCAGTGTTCTGCCTTGGTTAGGAGTGTGTATCCACTGGTTTGCCGCAGATCCCGCCTCTCAAGGGTAAACAAATTGGCAGCTACAAACAAATCCAGGTCGCTCAGAATAGAGTACTGAGGATGGTACTTGATCGTCCTTTCGATACAAGAATTTCCGATCTTCATATAGAGGCGAACGTTCCTACATTAGATTTCAAAATTTCTGACATTAAGACTAGGTTTTTACAGAAATGCAATACATGAGAACATGCTTTGATAAGCAATTTGTATATAGTAGGTTAGGTGTGTATAGTAGTTGTAGGTTAGTTGTATTTGTAAATAGTAGTTTTAAGTAGTCTCATTTTCCCAACTTCAAACAAACCAATCCCACCAAGGTGGCCATTCTTTAAACAGGCCTGATAGTTCTAGGAACTGTAATTAATAATAATTGAAATTTCAAAAGAACCAAAGTTAAAAAGACGCATCTGCGTCACTTGATAACTTATACATGTAAACTACACAAATACAAGAAATAAAGATCATTTAAAGTAAAAAAAAGTTGGATTTCCTTCGAGTAGCTGCTCCACTTCTTCACTTCTAAAAAAAATATTTTTGACTCACTGCGCAAAAATTAACTGTCCACAACTTAAAGTGCGCCATTTTGAACTTAGGGAAAAATATATATCTGGATCATTTACCTACACTCATAAAATAAATCACATAACCAGTGGAAAATATCCATGTGAATTTCACATAACTTTCATGTGACACTTCAGGATTATCCCATTTTTACCCAAATCACTCCTAAAATTTTCAACGTGCCAAAATTTCAATCCATCCTATCTATTCTTTCTATTCCCAACTTATCCCTTCTGCATGCACACAAATTATCAAGCAAGCCGTGCAGTTTTCAGGTCGATCGCGAAGCACTGTCAGTTTTCAACGATCTCCATAATAAACATGGTGTTAAAAAAATGTGATATGCGTTGAGTCGTTCAAGGTGGCGATTGTCCTGGCGAAGCTGGTGGAAATGAATTAGGGAATGAATAGTACGAAGGTAACCACCACATATATCTATGCTGAAGGCCAAGGATGAAGTGATTTCTCGATTGACAAATGAGAACATCTGAAATAAGAAGCAGTAAAAATAGTTAAACTATTTATTTTTCAATCTGAGTTTGAAAGAATTAATGAAACACACTCGATTCAGTCCAATAGAAATGAAAAGAATCATAAAATTGAAACTGAACCCCAAATTTTCAAACGTTGAATGTGAAAATTCACAGATTTTGAGTGGTGCCAGTATTGCACGAATCCGACGATATATCTCGCTCTCTCATTTGTGGAGAGTCGATCGAATATTATAGGGCTAGTGTGGGATGAGCAGGATGACCAGTGAACCGGGAAATCGGGAAAAAGCCGGGAATTTTAATGACAAATCGGGGAAAAATTACTTTATCTATTTTTCAGAAAAAAAAAGATTTTGGGGCTTTGAAATGTTTTAAGATTCTTGGACCAGACTAAACTTTTTTGGAATTTTGAGTAGATTTTAGAATGAATGTCAGGGATAACAAGTCATTTCAGATGATATTAAAGGTAGTTTTAGAAAGCGCTCTAAGAGATGTTAGACTTTCACTCCAAGTCACTTTTGTGAGTTCAAATTAAGGGTAGAATTTTTAAGTTAATTGGTGGAGAATTGCAAGTCGGTTGTGAAGATCACAGTATCGTGACCGGACCGAGGTTTCCAGCCTCGGTAACGGCTACATGAATCCGCGATGCTGCTATTCTTGCAGCTGCTGCCGCTTCTGCTGGCTTTCACAAATTTCGTTTGCGTGTTTAGAATTAAAGGTTTTTGCAGTTTCGTCGTGGAATCGATACATTCTATTAGTAGAGGGCTTTTGTAGTCCAGCTGTCACTATCCAAACATTATTTTTCACTGAACATTGACTAAAATGGCTACTTCGATGTTTTTCTTTCGTACTGTTTCATTTCAGTTGCACGCATCCCTCGACGCATCTCCATGACAATTTAAAGCACCCTCGCATCCAATGCAATCCCATTAGGAATCCCATATATTTTTTTTTATCCTTACTCAATTTTCGTCAAGACGACAAACTCAAAAAACTCTCTTCAATTACATTATTTTTACAGGCAAGCATAGTAAAATAGAATTCATCTGAATGAGTGTCGTTCCCCCTGATGTGATCCCATAATTGGAAATTGCACCACTAAATCACATGAACGTTATGTGTCCAATGAAATCTATGTGATTTCTCATATAGAATTTCTAATGCTATGTGATATTCAGCTAAAAATCATTGTTTTTGTTTTTGGAAAAATACTATGTGCGTTCCCAATAGAAACTAAGTGAAAACTTTTTTCAGTGTACAACCTGGGTAGATTCCATCTATCGGAGCAAATCCAGTTTACTCGTTTTTTAACAACAAAGAGCGATCTACCCAGTCACTGAGTAGCCTCAAAATACCATGTATGGAATCTACACTATCTATTATAACAACCCCCTTGTTCTATTGTAGATTTCCCTATTTACCATAGATTATATTGTGGAAACAATACATTCTACGGTAATTTTATCGTTGTGGACAAAACTAATTACTGTAAATACAATAAATTCTATTGCATCTTTTTTTACGGGTAAACAAGTAGATAACTCATCAATATTCTCTCTGTCATATCTCGAACAACTTATACCGAAACAAACAAAAAAACATTCAAGTATGAAGGACAACCCGTTCACTACGATTGTTGCTAATGCCACTCGTCAAATGAATTTGGAACAGCAACCTCAAATTAAGCTTTTGTGTCACGTTTTGCTCAAACGTAAACATTGATTGCAGTAGTTCGTAAGTTCAGTGTTCTGATTTTCCTCTCCGATAAGCAGCAACCTGTAAACAATTGTACTTACATTTTGCACCTCCTTTTCACAATGGGGAAAGCATTCAAAGAAGACACGATAAAGAGAAAAAAACATGATTTGAGAAGAACGCAGAGTAAACGATAATTGTCACACCGTTAAATTGAGTAAATTATTATAACCGTCGGGGAAGGAAAATGACAAATATTTGAACTACGAGGTCACCAATAGGTGGTCTACAAAAGAGGCGAGAAAACATAAGGAATGATGGTATCACGCGAGGCGTTCGTGAGTGTGCGACGGAAAACGCAAGAAGCGACAACGCCTCACCTCATCTAGTAGTCGGCCAGCCAGTTGAAGCGTGATGAATAATTACTGTTTTATTTTTTCACTACTGCTACAAATTTTATTGCATTTTTTTTTTGTTCGCCGTCGAATGTTATTGAAACCCAGGAACGGAAATCATAGCAACAGATCAAAAGTGAAACTAAAAATCCACTTGAATCTAAATTTATGTTTTGCGCTAGGTGGTGTGGAAACCAAAATGTTTAAAATGACGCGTAATTTAAAACTGGATGAAAAACGATTCACCTCACCACCAGATACGTGTGTAAAAACAAAATCAATAATCAAGCTGAGGCGTTTAATCGAGCAGCATTCCGTTGGACGATGGTCTTCTGGGAGTGACCACAGCCGTACATACCTGTGAATCCGCTGAACATTTTTCCCCTTCCGCTGCTAGTTGCTAGACACAATCGATCGAAGGAGGCGCCTTATGTCTGGCCGCTGATGACCTAATCTGCTTCTTGCTCCTTCCCGTTTTTCCAAGGATAACTAGACCGCTGGTAATGCAGTTAACTTATTGTACCACTCCACACGGTTTCTCGACGACGTTTGCAAAGGATGATCTCACACTTTTCAGTCCAGAAACTGAAGAAAAAATCTGTAGTCGTTCCACCTTCACACTATGCGGCACTGCGTCACTCTCGCGATAGATTCACGCTGCTAGGGTTTCCGACGCGCAAAATTCGAAACTAACACCGATGAGGTCTTGCAAGATACTGCGTTCGATGGCGGATGTCGCTGGTTGCTGCTCGCTCAAGTACCTATAGTAGAACAGCTGGTACTGCTCATCATCATCATCGTCACCGTCAGCGTCGAATCGAATTCGAGCTCGGAGAGCCGTGTGGCGAGAGAATATCGCTCGGGCTTGATACATTCTTGCCGGTTGCACTGAGTCAATACGAGCCGTATTCATATACCTAGTTAGCTTAAACAGGAAGCATCCGTAGCTCTCACGTGGCTTTCGAATATTCTCGTGAGAAAAATGTCGACTTGATGGTGATTGTTTCATCGATTTGCGATGTTCAAAGCTTACGCGGGTGATTTGAAATTAGATGACGGTTAGGTACGACTCATACGTATGATGATGCCGTTTCTGGGAATCGGATTTAAAATGCGTCACTTTCAGCATGCTTGGCGTATGTGGGGTCATCCACGAATTATGTAAGTGATTTGTCTCAATACGCTTAGTTTTTTGTCGAGATTGTCACCGCCGACTAGCTCGGCATTTTATTTTACTTGAGCTTAGTGAAAAATTTGCCAAGATCTCAGCTAACAATAGAAATTTTTTCCCGGCAAAAAATCTAAGTGTGAACATTTCCTAGGGGGGCTGAAACTTTTCAACCATCAAAAATGCATTCTTTTTCAACTCAAATTATATTTTAATCATGGTAATCATGCTGTTTTGGATCGCCCGCACCCTTAGATAACGCGTTTAGTTGCATAGTTGAATCCTCAAGTGTACATATGGAAGATTATAATAAGCTGGCGGAGACGAAACAGCCCCAGGCTTAGCTTAAATCAATAATGACTATTTACTACTGGACAGGCAACGGACATCTTATTATACGTATATCATACAAGTAAAATAAGCATATTATTATCACGATAGTTTTACAACACGGCCCATATAGTAAGAATTTTCAATAATAGAAAAACAATACAATTATGTATAAAGAAAGAGCTGATGGTAGTAACGCTTGGTATATGCCTATCAATGTGCTTGTCGAAGCACTCTCCATGACTATCCATCAAGTAGACGAAAGAAGTAAAAAGCAACTGGTGAATGTCGTCTTCGGTGGTGATACATCACCGATCTAGTCATTCCCGACATTCACGACACTCATCTGTGCTCGTTTTGAAGCAGTTGCTGCTTTGATTGCTTATGTGAGTGTGTTGGTGAGTGAGCCCAACAGCTTCCGTTTAATTTTGCAGCTATGTTTGTAACTCACATAGTCGCACGTGCCGAAACGAACTTGGAATGCGTAGGCATTGTTTTCATTTTCTTCTGTCGTTTCGCTTTTTCTCATCATCGTACTGCAGAAGTGTTCACTGTTCCTTTCATCATCAGCACCGAGTGTTACGAGCATCGACCATTACTGGTGATAGTTGTTTGCCATTGCTCTACCTCTCACTGCGTGACCAAACGTTCTGTCAGCGATAGTCGGGTGATTCGTTGCCGAGTGTCGAGTGAGTGTCATGATATTTTGCATCACTGACCTTATTTGCTTATCCTTGACAATTCTGGAGAGATTTTCAATAGATCGTAATTTACATTTTGTCTCAGTTGAGAAAATTGGCTGTGAACATGTTTGAAATTATTTTAATTCCTATTAAGAAACGGGACATTTTTAAGTGAATTAGCGACAACTTTTAAGTTTTAAATTATGTTTGAAAATTAAATAATTAAAAAAATATCTATTATTCGAATATATATTTTTTAAGCTGTCATGTTGCTTACGTCATGTTGGGTTCGTCGATATGCAAAACATAAAAAAACTGAACGTGACTTACTCTGACAAATCTGAAGTATAATCTCGGTTTCCCTTTCACAGCCGACAATACATAAAAGATTCGATGGAAGCTCTCTATATATATTAGCAGAAGTCACCAACAAATTTTCGACAGTCCTTCTTTACATGGACTTTATCTTTATCTTTGGTATCGAGCTTGAAAAATTACCAACATTAAAACATCCAGTGTAAATGATATTAATGCATTCTGGTAACTATAATATTTAATGGATGTGATGATTTGGACTGCTAGCATCGTTACCATTTGATTCTACTTAATGAAATTTGTATCAATTACAGATACGTATTTCAACTACAATGGACGGTCATCTTCAGTGTCATCCTACTTAAGACCTATTGAAATCCAACCCTATAATCTATACTATTTACTTTAACAAATTTAAATATCCTGTAAACAAGCTCTCTGAACTGTTAAAAAAGTAAGGTTGCAATGCTATGTATAGCTGCCACAACAACTTTTCGTAGAGCACTTCAAACATTCTTTGGGAACCCTTCGAATTTCCCCAAAGAGAGTCAAGGACATTGAGGTATTTCAGTATATGATTTCTCCATCATCTCGCATTTCTTGTTTTCCGTACTTTCGTCAAGCTCTAAATCATAAATTTCCAGCAAGTCTTCCGCATCTTCGAACAACTAAGATTATGACATTTGTTTGCACACGAGTTAAAGGACAAAATCTCATTCAATGATAGCAATATTAACACATCTTCAGAATCTCGTCATTGTATAATTACCAGGAATAACCTCTACTGCGACAAATAACCTACTCGACATAAAACTTGATCTACTACTTTAGTCCTATTTTACTTTATACAATAGTCTATGCGTTGCTGCCGAATGATAGCATCTTGCTTAAGGCACCTATCTTTCAGCGAAGCAATTTCCTTCTGTAAACTGCCAATGGTTGTGTCCTTCTTGTCGATGGCCTGCTGAACTCTACAAACAGAACGCTGTGTTACAACATGCCATTCTTATTTCAAGATAATTTTAAACCAACCTGCAGTAGATCCGCTCAATCTCCCGTTCGCGATCCTTCTGTATATTGGACAAATCCTTCTGAACCTCCTTCCGAGCTTCATTCTTCATGGTCTCCTTCTCACGAAGCAACTCCTCGCAAAGCTTCTTCGAGTGGCTTAACTGCAGGTCCACCTGTTTCATCGAGGATTTCATATTCTGAATCGTCGCTTCGCTTTCTGCCATCTGAGCCCGAGCGTCCTGATACTTTTGCTTCAACAAAGCTTCATTTGCTTCCTGCTCGCGCATCTCCACCTGATGCTTCTCTTTGAGACGACTGAAATGCAATTATAAATTAATGCTAAGGATGACCGTTGAACCTATTCGGTGCATACTTCATTTTGGCATCAAATTCTTCCTGGTACTTGTGAGTCTCTGCATCCACCTTGGCCACAATTCGATCGATTTGCTGATCCCTTTCCGCACGCAGCTGCTGGCGCACCGTATTTTCTCGTTCGTCCATAGCCAACTTAGCTATTTCCTCATGCTTCCTCTTCCAAACAGCAAAATCAGCTTCAAGCTGATTTTGCAGTTTGGCTAGCTCTTCCTAAAAATTAAATAAATCAGTTGCAAAATTTGAATATTCCAAAACATTCAAATAAAACCTTGTGCTTATTTTCCCGATCCTTCAACATCTGAACGTACTCTTTACGAGCAAACTCCAGGTTCTTCGCGTTATCACTCTTCAGTTCATGAATTTGCGTTTCAAAATAATGATTTCGGTTCTTCAGTTCCTTGAGATTGCGTTCCTTCTCGATCTCAAACTCATTCAGTAAATGATTCCGCTGTTGCTCGAAAATCGACCGCTCCTCGCTGACTTGCTTATCGAACCGATCGAGCAAAGCTTGTCTCTCCTTCTCGATCAACGCTTCTCTTTCCTTTTGCATGTTCTGTCGAATATCCGCTTCCTTCTGTTCGTACTGCAACTTGAGCTCCGATACAGCACACATCATGTCGTCCTTGTGCTGCCGCTTTAGCTCTGCAATTTCCTTCTGATGAGTGGCAGTCATTTTGTTTATCTCCAGTTCCAATCCTTTCACGGTGAGCTCCTTAATCTTCTTGGTATTTTCCCTAACCCACTTTTCCCTTCGAATCTTCTCCGCTGCCAGCGCCGTATCTTTAGCCTTTTCAAGCTCGGTTTTCAGCCTATGCTCCCAACTCTGATTTTGTGACTCGATTCTTCTCGTCAGCTGCGTTACCTTATCGCACAATCCGGACTTGTCCTTGATAAGCTGATCGATGAACTCCTGATGACGACCGATGATGTCTTCGTAGTGTTTCTTCTGTTCCTTCATCTTGTTCTGGAATGCAGTCTTCTCGGCTCGCACAGCCTTCATCTTGTCCGATTTCACATTTGAAAGATGCTCCTTCGACAGCTGCATGGCGTTGCTTAGTTCGTTGGCACGTAGGGAAAGTTTAATGATGCGTCTGGCCAATTGGTGAACAGGAATTTCCAACAGGTCATTCATTCTGAAAATGAGAAATCATTGTAGAAATGTTTTCGCAAACTGGCGTAAATACGGGTACTTGGGAACGGTTTCAATGTAATCTGGCTCCGCAGCGAAGTCGACCTCCGATCGATCCGACTCCGAAGGAACCGCCGACTTGAAGGCCTTCTCGCACTTCATCTCGACCTGATCGAGGTAGGAGAGAAGATCCTTCACCTTGTCTCTGTCGTGTTCCTCATGCTGGTACTGAGCCGCACTGTCCGGTGAATCACGCGAGTCCAGAATGTTACTCAGTCGGTACTCTACTTCGCTTTTCAAGACTTGAAAGTCTAACGGCAAATAACGGATAATTATAATGTTAAAAATCCTACTTTACTAAACTTACCCGAATTCGGCTTCGCCACCTCACTCACTAACGATTCATCGTCGTAGTTGGTTTGCTCACTACCGGCCATCTCCCTGCACCCATGTTCAAAGTTGAAGTTGGATTCGTCATCAGTCTTGTTCAGATCGGTTGGAGTTGTTGGACGACCTTTGGCTTCAATTGGGCCCAACAACCCACCGCCATCCGGGTCACTTTCGTAGGGCTTCGGGAAGGTGTCCTCATTACAAGACATCCAGCTGACCACCTTCTCCATTTGGTATTCTGAGATATTGCTCTCCTGTCGACACAGAGGAGTAGAAAACTTAGCCCCCGTATTATTTTTCTTTGCATTTCTCAGGATCGACTTATGAACGTCTGCCGATTTGGGTTTCTCCAAGGCTTTCCCATTCTTCTTCGGGAGTAGATTGCTATTTTTTTGGTTTGCCTTGGTCGCTTTCAACTCGTTGAAGTTCTGTTCTTTCACTTTGAAGTAGTTCTTTATGATTTGACTGGAGCTACTATCCAGCTTGTTTTTTTCAAGCTTCGGAGCAGGCTTGATCGATTGAAAGTTTTTCTCTACGGGAAGTGATTTTGCTTCATTGTTCAAATTCAGCTTCAATGTATCTTCTTTGCTATCCTGTCTGGACTTCTTGTCCCCTTGTTGGTTGATAATCTCATTAATGCATTCGTAATATTCGTTGATCACATCCTTCTTGCCACTTCCTGTTGCACTGCGCAGCTTCTCAATCTCGTTGTCCGTATCGTCGGTTGCGCTAGTACAACTAGCTGCTATTCTATACGTCTCTTCCACGTATGTTTCGGTGACTTCGACGGTTGTGTAGCGTTTCGGATCATACGATTTAGAGCTTTCCGATTGCACCATTTTGAGTTCCATCTCCCTTCGCCGATTGATATCTTCAATCTCCTTCTTGTACTCTTCGATGATTTTGCTCGAATCGTCGTCATCACAGAAGGATTCCGGCGTCGAATCGAACTTCACTAACTTTTCAGACTTGTCCTCCTTTGTATCATAACCAGAACTAGTCAATTCTTCTTCAAACTTAACCAAACTGAATCTTGGCTTAGGTTGGTGTCCCGTCAACGGTTCCTGAAATTTTCGCTCATCGTAAACCGATTCCGAACTGCGCTGACCTATCTCACCCAAGGGATCTGGCTTCGTCAACGCAAACTCATTATCTTCGTAGTCACTGTAGTCGATCTCGTACGGATCATTCGAACTGAACGACACCCTTCCCGGTAGGTCGATCTTCTTATCTAACTTCTGCACTGCACTCGGTGGCACCGTCACATTTCCAAGTTTCTTCGAAACCACCTTTCGCATAACTCCACGCGGTATTGGTGGTTTCTTATCCATCCCCGGTAAAATCTTCATCCCATCCCTGGACCAAATGTTCTCCAACTCAGTTTCGTTGTTCGACTCCTGCGTATCCTCGTCCATGCTGGTCTCCTCCTCTGAACTACAATCTATCACCTTCTTCTTAGGAACCGCACTTCGCTTCTTACTCTTCACTTTCGACATGTGCTTCGCTGATCGGGCTGCTACCACGCCTCCGGAGCACCCGGAGCCCGTTAACGTCTTGGAACCCCAGTAACGCGATATAGGTTCCGCCAAAAGTGACTTCAGTAAACTCGACGACGAAATGCTTCGCTTTGATAGATAGCCCGAAGCTGAACTATTGCTACCACCGCCACCACCAATGCAGAACGATTTTCGCCGTATCTGACTATCAGCTGATAATGGCCGTCTAATGTGGGCCGGAAAAGGACGACTATTGTTAAATGCCGATCCCGGTCGACCGACTGACGACGATGACGTTCCTGCACCCGCCAAGTGTTGGTAACTGTTGGTGGGGGTGATTCTCTCGCGCGTTGCCAGGTTAATCTACGAGGATAAACAAATGCGGAAAAAAGAAACCCTTGAACAGTTTTCTTGACCTGTGAGTGTGACATTTCGAAGCATAATTATGACTGAGTTCTCGAACCTGTGATCCGTACAGACTGAGTTCCATAGTTAGTGGCACAAAATCTTGATTTTACACATATTTTACACCGATTTTCACTCACTTTTCACTAATTTCTCGGCCATAATTGGAAGAGCGCGAAATGTATGTAAACACTAGGCATTGGAGGAAATTATCGATTTTGTTGATGGGGCGCAAATACGGCTCCATTGGTAACCGGTATCCGGGGACAATCGGAGGTGCCATGGCAATACGCGTGGTACAACAAACAAAACGGGAAAGAAGCACGTGGTTCAAGGTCGTGGCGCCGGCATGCCGTTTTCACAGTGTAGGGGAAGTGTTGGTGTTTTGATCACGTGGTTTTTGTTTACGGTTGAAAGAATTCATTCGGTCTTAGAACATGCGATTTGAGGCAATTTTTTCATTTATTTGCTTGCATTGTTATCTTGGTACATCAGGGTAATGAATTTTATCGATTAATATTTTTTTAATCGCAGCAGGCTTTGGAGCATTTCCACACCAAATAGTAAAACGGTTTGACATAACTTTCTCCAAATTTAGTGAAACTTTGCACTTATGTTGGTTACTATCCAAGATACCCCAAATTTGTGTACGGAAGGTTTTTAAAATGGATTTTTTTTTTTCAAAAAACCATAAGCATAAATTCACGTCTAAGAATAAGTTGTAGGTAACTTAAATTCACCTACGTCTTCTCAGACATGCCTTTTCAACTAATGGCTTATATCATTTAATATAGGCTGTCTTCCAATGAGCACTCATACATCTAGTTATCAAGTTATCTTCAAGTTTATGTTTTTTTGAAAACATAAAATCCTGGTTCCATCGAAGTGTGCTGTGCTTGTGGCTAAATTTTAGCATTTTTTGTAAATCGCTACAACTATTAATGCCTGTGTTTCGAATGGACCTTTTACTTTTCAAGATCAAATTAATGATCAATTTTTATTCTGAAGATCTGCAACTGTTCAACATATTTAAATTACGTTTCCAGACATTCTCCCAATATTGCTGATTGATTAGGATGCATTCAAACGAGTTTAAAGTATGAAGTCAAAAACTTCAAGAAATCCTCTGCGCTTCCACTGGGATGTTGAATGTGGGGAAAGGTTTGCAGCAGGGATCGTTTTGGTAAACTAATGCTGATAATGACGTACCTTAAACTCTAATGGATATGAAGTATAAATAGATAAAAAAAAGGAAAGATCTTACCGAAAGAATCAAGTGGACCTGCAACAAGCTGCCTCGTAGTGTTTTCATATACTGTCTTCAAATCATCCTTCTTCTTGACGTAATAGTACCAGCCGTAGACGGTTCACGGGAATCAACATGAACTGGTCCATTCTCTTTTCGGATTCACTTCTGATAAAGTTTCAACGTTCGTTGATTGACCATTCTTGAAATTCGATTTTAGTGGCGATTCAGAAGTGAGAAATTGGTTCTTGAGCACTGCAGTGTACTGGTTGTTTGCAGCTTGCGTGCTCTCCTTTGAAAACTTGTCCATCTGCGACGGTTGCCAATTTGAAGTAGCTCGTTCCGCTTGGTCAGCAAACGGGAATTCATTGTGGAACCTGAAAGCAGTTTCCTTATTCTTGACCTCTACAACACACTATTAAAATCACTTTTATGGAAAAAAAAACAGGAGGAAAGAAAACATGCAGGAAAAATTAAAACGTCTACTTTCAACCGCAGCCTACTGCGATCCATCAGAAAAATCCCGAAGATCCTGTTAAGGCTTGAAACTATCGAAGCCACAGAGTCTGGTAGTTTTGAAAGTTTAACTTTTTTTATATTTCGGAGTGCTTTTCGGGTTTCCAGAAAATGATTTCAATGCTAGTTGTTTCAGAGCTTCTGTAGAGTTATTCAAGGTCTTGGAGTTTCAAAAAATCCTGAAGGAATTTATATAATTTTCGAGATTTATCCTTGGATTTATCTCATTTCGTCGTGTTCCTAAATTTTGCATAGTTTTCAGTATTAACAAATTCACAGAACTTGCAATAGTTTTTGAAATTATAGATCCAGGATAGATGTTGTATACTAATTAATGATATGTATGAGGTTTTGATTTAAATATTATTTGTGGAAATTTTCATGACTCAGTAAATGGTAAGTCCTGTTTTTTCTCTGCAATTTGCCTCCACTGTAAACAATGTTGTCTTTTTTCAGATTGTATGTTTATGGATTGCTGAGATTATGTTTTGTTTCTTTCTACCATACATAGTTCATTAATTATAAATTTTCAAAGTATGTGATGTGCGGGAAAGTCAGAAACTTCTCGCGAAAATTGACCACCCCAAACTTTGTGGATTTTATTTTCGTTCAAATAACCATTAACCACAGACACCCTGCGCTTTGGTCAGAGAGCGTATAGGGCGTCGTTGTGCCAATTTGGTCGTGGCACATTTCGAGTATGAGAGAGTGATTGCAGTTTGCTCAAAAGTGCCTGAGTAAAATGCAAGTATTTTCGTTGATTACCCGTAGTTGTTACAGTGAAGATATACACCCATATTCTCGTTTATGTCTGGACGTGTTTGCCATACAGAAACATTTTAATTTGATTTTGTGTGGTGGATGGGTTTCGGACGTGGACAGGCATATGGGTGATAATATTAAGTTTACGTTAGGATAACGTTGAAACATTGAGAAATGTATCGCTTCAGTTTAAGAAGCACTTCACTTTGCAACCGATGAACCATTCTGACGGCCCACATTGCCGTGCAGGCGCCGTGTGTTGGCAGGGTCCAATATTGGACAGTTTGACGTTTATAAAGTACACTCAGTTAAAACTGTATTTTTGAACTTTATCTCTATACATTCTTAGATGTTTCTTAGTAGATTATCATGTTGGTGTAAGCTGATTCAAAGAGTAAATGGTATTAACATTGAGCTGTCCATAGTTGGGCGTTGTTGAACTTCTGGTACTTGCACAACATTTCATGTGAATACCAAAGTAACCATATAATCACAAAATAGCTTTAGGTGTGGGTTCAGAGTGGTACCATGTCACTGAGATATGGTTAGTTGGGTATTCAGATGAAACTATTACTTTAAAAAACTAATCCTGGTTGTATCTCTTTTTCGTTTTTTCGTTTGCATGTAACACTGTTTGATATTACTAACCGCACCGAGCCTTCATTCCGGGTGGTGAGCGAACCTGAAGAAGAAGAAGAAGACCATAAACCCCTTCTCGGAACGAGTGTTTTGTTAGTGGACCTGGTCTGCGATTCAAGGTTGGACTCTGTGATGATAAATATCACATAACAGGTAAAGTAGGCAGGATCATCTTTATCGAAATGTAAGTATTACTGACAATGATCATAACTAGATTATATGCAAATTTATATGATAGGTACCTGGATCAACGTTGTTTAAACATGCGCATTAAATCGTGACGGCATCTAATTCTGCATTTTAAACCTACCCAACCCTTTTCCTTTCTACAATCCCTGAGCCGCTGGTTCACCATAAGTGTACCTCGCAGAACTTTTTTAACCCCCATGGGTAAAGATGCTGTGTTGCTCACTCCTCTCCCCTTCCCTGGTGTATTATGGATGGTGTGAATATTCACATCGGTGACATGGCCCTGACCCCCTTGTACATCATAAAATGAAAATAACCATTAACCACAGACAAACAGACGTAATTCTTCCTTCTCAATCGGCGTACACGCATTTAACGTTCAATTTATATATTATTAGTTTCGCGAACTCCTAACCATTTTGACGTTTCTACATTCTATCGAACTCGCATGCAACAATATTTGAGACTTGGCTTTATCCGCGAAAAGCTCACGAGATGTCGTTAGTGAGTACCGTGACGACATTTTTAAGAAAACATAATTTAAAGAGTTACGTCTGTTTGTCTGTGCAGTAACCCTATCTGTAGACAAAGTTCAATAAAATTCTTAAACCCTTCGGCCAAAACCTGTCCGATAATTTGAAACATCTCCTGTAAGACAATCACATGCTGCAGAATATACGGGAACTCACATGCACAGAATCTTACAAAAAAACAAGTACGGAATCAGACCTAATGCTTTCTCTTACGCTCGCCATACGATGGAGTTTTAGCAGGGATTTCGAAAAATTAAACAAATCTCGAATTCATTCAACTCATAAACTGACTAGCACTTTGCTTTTTTTATTTATTTGAAGTTTCAGTTAAAATTATTCGTGTTTCACCTAACGCTACAGTAACTATCTCATTTTTACCTTCTCTTTTTTGTTGTTGCTATCCTTAAGTAATAGACCTTGAATTCCATCATATCGCTTGAACCTTTTCGATCATTGTTGACCAACCAAACGCCTGGCAATAAAAATCACCTTTCAGTTTTTAAGAATTGCTATCATGCTACTGCGTTTTTAGTTATCGACTTAATTTTTCTGTTCCTATAAAAATAAATACTTTCCTTTGTTATTCTGCCGTTTCGTTTTACCAACCGCTAGTACAGATATAGTTTTTTTTTTATAGTTTTGCATCAGATCAAAATAACGAACGAGTGTGATGAGATAAAAACTACCTTTGCTTTGCGTGTAAACGTTTAAATAATTTAATTTTCTGTTGTTTTTACCCCTCTCTTTGTATCTATAGTTATTTAATATTATCTCAGAAGGGAAAATTGCATAAAGAGGAGTTTTCTGTCGGTAATATAGAAAGAGATGCGTCCGAAACAAAAAAAAAATGAAATCGAATATCGACGACGAAGAATAAATTGGCAAGAGGTAGCGCAGATCGCGACAATCAAGCTTATCGAACCTATCGTACTTCTAGAGTTTGTTTGTATCCATGTATTATATACCTGACACAGTATAAATTACCTAAATCAATCTTTAGTGCAGTCGATGTATTCATTTTAAATGAAGCGAACAAAAGAGTTCATTTTCCTAAACAAAAAGCTCAAAGAAAGGAAAATCGCTTTCAGGATGGATTCAAAAGTCTTTCTTTAATCTGTCGTTGCCAGTTTGTTCGAATCATTTGCCTTTTGGTTTAAGCTTTGCAAAGTATCTGAAAAATTGACAAACACAAGCGTACGCAGATTTACTCTGCCTTCTTCGCCTCGACGGTCGGTTTGTTCGGAGGCAGAACCGCCAGCAGAAGCGGCTTGAAGGCCACATTGCCCAACACGAAGAGAATTAAGCCACTGAAGCGAGCGACGCTATAGATGTGCCACCACTTGCCGAAACTGAGGAATACGAACGGAATTAAGCACCAGCCGGCGAAAACAATCGTGTAGAATTTGAGCAAGACGAAAACGGCCACCTTCACCAGGGGTTGCTGCATCAAAACCTGCAAGCGGTCGTTCTTCTGGAAGATTGGTTCGATCTGAAATGGATTGAAATGTTGTAGGATGTAGCTTTCATTGCACTCAACAAGCAGTACCTCTTTCTCCATCCTGATCACCATGAACTCCATGAAGAAGGTTATGTAGTACCCGCTGTGGAAGCCATGCCAGATGGCCAGGAACAGCAGGGCTCCCAGATGACTGAGTACACGGTTATTCAAGAACTTCAGACGCTTGTAAACGTAAACTGCCACCCAGTGGTTCGTTTGGACGTTGAACGATTCGACATAGTGGCCAAATTTGCTGGTGTTTTCGAATACGCCCACCTTGATGTTGGTGCATCCCGACAACTCATCCGAATCGTACTCTCGGTCGCCCGGCTTGGCATCGATGTAGGTTAGACCTGGAAATGGACGTTTATCAGTAATTAGAACAGGTAGGTTTGTAAAATGTTATAAGAAATGTGAACTTGTATATTGAAGATGGAAATCTTATGCCAATCTCCTTCGAAGTACCAAGGCCTTCATTTGGTGATACAAAAGTAGTTCGGAAGTCTGCCGCTAGGGTGGCACTTTTGCTAACTTTTTAATTAAGCATGATAGAAGGATGGTATCGGCAAGTTTGATGATATTCTGAGCAACTCTTCTAAAGATACAAACTATTCAAGTCATTTAGGGTTTCAGATATTGTGCATTTTTTGGAAAAATAATGCCGATTGTTTAATTCTTTTCAACATATTTCTTTATTTATATCCATCCTAGAGAACAATTTACTGCAGCATCAAAACAACTTTGATATAAAACCGTAGAGAAAAACCCATTGTGTTGCCAATTTATAAAAAAAAAAACTAAAATCGGATTATTTTGTATTCCTCCTTCCTCCCGTCCAGTTTGTCTGGAGTAATATCACCGGCAAACCGAGTTGACAACTCATACAAGCTACTTTCAAATTCGTGCTCAAGACGCCATATTTGAAATACGTTGAACACTACCGACATCTACTCATCCGATCGCGTCATAACATAAGCAAGGACACAAATTCACGTATAATTTATATTGCCTTGGTTTGCGTCTCACCTCATTCGACAGATCTGGTCATCCGTTTGAAAGATCGAATCGCTCGTTTGACAATTCGAATTGTGGCCAAAGGAAATGCTCCTGTGGCATATCGGTCGTCGATGGTAATATATTGGGGTTACATATTACGTAACTCACACACAGTTGTCTGCGGAAACACGCCGCAACTCTTGTACTTTACACACAATGACGAACATATGATTAAATAGCCAATGATGTGTCAAGTTTATGTGGTGGGTCGCAAATCCCTGCAGCTCCTCAGTGCTCTTTCGATTTGTATTGAGGTTCTCACCAACTATGCCTTGAATGAATTTGGATTTGCGAGAGAGTTTTAAAGTAACTATGGGTAAATTTATGGGAAACGCAAAGAACATACTTATTTGATTGTCAAAAATTCACACATTGCTCAATACCGTGGACCCCCGGTAATCTGACCGTTTCCAGGGTGGCCAGTGAATTTTCATTTTGAAATTCCCGGTTTTTTCCAGGTTTTCCCGGTTTAATTCTTAAAAAATTCCCGGTTGTAAATATTAAACAAAAAACCCAAATTGAACGCATTTTTAAGAACGCTCTGAAAGGAATTTACTAAAAGGACAAAAAATGTGATTTAAGAAGATTCCCAAGATTCTGGGGCTTTAAAATTTGAGTAGTGTCTGAAACTAGACCTTTTTTTCAAAATTTGTGATTACTAACAATCTTTGTTATGCAAGATTTGGAGTAAACATAATTAAAATGTGAGATTTTGGAAAAAAAAATCCAAGATCACAGATATGAAAAATTAAATAAATATCATACTTATGAGTCGTGGAGTCATAATTGTCAAGATCTGAGACTTGGAAGCGTTTTAAGGGTTATAACAAATTACATAACAATCTATAGAATCTAGCGGACAAACCCTGGATTTTTTAGTAAATTTTAAAAGAATGCAAAGTTTTGATTTCAAACAAATATTGAGAAAGATTCCCACACAGTTTTCGAGCAGATTTCCACAATTATTCTGACATGAAAACCCTAATAATTGTTAGATGAATTTGGAAGGATTTCTGTGGAGAAGAATGCTAATTCTAAATTAAATTGTTAGATAATTTTAGAAGATTTAAAAAGGAGTTGTCAAAAACAAAACATTGCGGAAAATTCCTACGTGATTCTGATGAGATTTGAATGGGTATCGTGAAGAAAATTAGAGATGAATTTTAAAAAGAATTCCAAGAGAATTATGATCAGAATTCAACAAGAAACAGAGTTCTTAGATTGTGCTGGCAATAATTTCAACCCTAGTGCGAAAGATTCATCACAGAACTCCAACAAAATTTATTGCAAAAAAATCTGAGAATTAGAAAGAAATTCTTTAAAATACTCCAAGGGGTTTCTAAATAAAATTTCGAAAGATTTCTGCTGTTTTGAATAGAGTTGAAAGAAATTTTTGAAAATATTTTCAAAGAAATCAAAGTCTCCGAATAGGCTTAAGGGAATTCTAAGAAGCATTCCAATTAAATTCTTAGACGGGGTTGCAAGGAAATTCCAAAAAGAATTCAACGGCAATTATTACGCGGAGTGTCTTCTGGTTTATTTCAGAACAATTTCAAGATAATTCAAAGCCGAATTCCAAGTTAATTCTGGAATTCATGTCATGAGAATTTTGAACAACGAAAAATTAAACCCCCGGAAAAGAATAATTCAGTTTCGGTTTTTACAAATATTTGTTTTTAAAGTCCAGCATCTTCAATATTTTCTTTTAAGGACCATGCACTTTACATCTGAAATTAAGACGACAAAAATCAATTTTCAATATTACTGAGTGATTAAATTCTAAAAACAATAACACGGGAAACTGAAAAAAATTATGCAGCAAATAGAGCAAGACATTCATTTGATAAAGGATAACTGTTTCAATGATTTATTCTGAAATCTGGTTTAAAAATTTATCCTATGGTATGGTTAATTTATTTTCCCGGTTCTCTCACCGAATTCCCGGGTTTTTCCCGGTTTTCCCGGTTACTTTTCAAATTCCCGGATATTTCCCGGTATTCCCGGTTTTCCCGGTTTGCTGGCCACCCTGCCGTTTCTAATCTGAACATTTTTTAGTTTGTACTCCGCTAATCTGCACGCCGTGCAAATTAAAAATTGCTCAAACGTCATTTAAAGCTATGTCCATTTATAATCCGGAATAATAAAATCATCTGTATCTCGGTAACGAATTGACGTACAAATAAGGTTCATACACTGTACTTTTAGGAAAAAATATCAATACATATCATATCTCTTCGTTTCTAATGAAAATTCGCACTTTCGTCTTTATTCCTCCCATCAAACGCTGCACACCTTCGGAGTCAACTTTCTTGGCACATTTGTTCCACATTTTGGTCATCTGAATCGCGTCCCGAGCCGTTTTTTCCCTTTTCTTAAGCTTCCGCTTCATTATTGCCCACAATCGCGTACGGTAGTACGCGGTTTTTGAGGCATTCTTCCTTGTACAGCTTCGAGTCCATCGTCTTATTCGTCACGAACACTTTGGTCTTTGCTCCGCAGCTGCATATCCCTTGCCAAATCATCAGTTTTTTGGCAAATTTGTCCATAAAAGCAAACTTAAACCAACAATCAATTCGAAACTAACGATTTTAAATTGGTTCACTACTTGACTTGCCCAAACAAATCGATTAACGTATCCCATTCTAGTATAAATTCTAGTACGACACTATGTTTGTTTTGAAAGTTTGACAGATAAAATGAGGGGTTCGTGGATTTTCCAATGTTTCGAGGGGTGAATCGATTAGCTTGGGACCGAAGATAGTACCAGAGCTGAACCAAAAAGTTGAGCACGTTATTTCGGGACCTTCTGGTCTTAGAGTTACCTCTATACTATTACCATAGAGGTAACTCTAAGACCAGAAGGTCCCGAAGAAACGTGACCAACTTTTTGCCTCAGCACTGGTACTATACTCAGTCCCAAGCTAATCGATGCACCCCTCGAAACATAGGAAAATCCACGAACGTCCAAAACAACGGGAAATCTGTCAAACTTTCATAGTGCATCAAAACAAACATAGTGTAGTATTAGAATTCCAACTAAAATGGGGTACATTAATCGTTGTACTTACTGAGGAAACTGAGGAAAGTAATAGCTGATACGGTTGCCAAATACGTGTAGGTACTGCATCTGGATTTGTTTTTTTTTAATTACTGGCATATTGGGGAATTTGGTTTTCTATTGAGTCGTGACAATGTCAAAAATACTTCTGTCAATATCACGTGAAAACTTAACATGAGCATACCAATGCTCAGCACTGCCTCAAAGAACACAGAGTTGCGAGCGTAAAGTAGCAGTAGGGTCGTAACAAAGCCAAAGAAGACAGAAGTTATTCCAGTCCAAACCATAACAGAAGCGGGTTGATTCTCGATCCTTAGAAATGTAAAAAAAAAACAATTGGTGATCAATTGTAAAACATTTCTCATCAGTGAAGAACATTGATCGATTGCGGCTCACACACGGCCAATGAGAAGTTATTATGCATATAGCGAATTCGTTTATTATCGGGGTTGGAACCAGTTCCAACCCAGTGCGAAACCGAACTTTTTGTCAGTGCGAACTTCAACCTGAGCTAGGTTTTAAAAACAAACGAGCAAACTGACGTTTGTCAGCAAACAAGCAGACCCAATCCTGATACCCGATCCAGGTTGGAACTGAATAATAAACGAATTCGCTAATAGTTTGGCAAGTCTCAGTGCGCAAAACATTCAGGTTCGATGATTCTTTTTCATATAAATATGAACAGTCATCCGCCTCATCATTCACTGCCTCGTGAGAGTCTGAATGATTGGAAAGTAAACGAGTCACTGCAACTGACTGCAGAGCACTCAGTCAGTAGCTCAGTCAGCACGTTTATGCTTCCGTGATGGTACCGAATTCTTGTTTTGAATGACTGATCGTACATTTTCTATGGAAAAATGCCTCAATTACATGCTGCGTGAGCGAAGGCATGCGGTGGAAGTCGCCTGTTCGTGAGTAACTGAATGTTTTTGTGGGCTGTTTCATTGCCTCGTCCTTTACCGTTTGGTACATACGGTCTGGATCGGGGAGGGTGACGTGCTGTCAAATCAGCCTACTGATCATTCTTGTATAAAAATTGGTTCCAAACGTAAACAAACCCTGTAGGTTTCTTATGGCTTATTTACGTTTGGAACCAGTTATGCAAGGTAGGCGACGATTGTTCGTATTTGACAGCCACATCCACCCCTTGGTCTGGATAGAGCAATGAATTGAATAGAGCAGTGCTTTCACACTCAGCGTAAGCAGTCAATAATGTTACGCTCTGCGTGGTATACGCCAGGTAATCGGTTCAAGCAGTAACCGGGATGTTACGGATGTGTGAAGGAAACTGCAACCATCTCGATGTAAATCTACTTTCCTGGATCTTGAATTTGGTTCTGCGTATGACAATTTACTCAAAACATAACAGTATTTTATTTGATCGTTCCTAAGTATTTCATTTAGAATCATTTCCTTTCTCAGAGTTCTTTTCAGAATTATTCTCAATTTGAAATTCTCTCTGCACCGTAAGAAAAATCGTGTAAGCTTCTTCGCATACGTTTTAAACGTATTAACGTATTAACGTATTTAATATAAATTTTAAGCGCAGTATCGCAATTTCGATGTTTATTTCAACTAAAGCTTAAAATCAAAGTCCGTTAAAAATTTATGTAGAACACTCCATAAAATTCTTGAAATTCGTCCATCGTTCTCTTCGAATTTTAAGCTCTTCACAGAAGCTTTTTTTTAATTCTCAGAATTCTCAACCAACAATTGAAAAGGGCCTATTAGATTTTGGGAGCAAACCGTAATCCCAAAATCATCGAAATACCCTTTTATTTCAGTATTTTTGCTCAATCCGCAAAAATGCAACATCAAGCACTGAGCAACCACATGTTCTCAACTCTATTTAAAATTTGAAATGAACAACCATCCTCAAAGGACACCAAGTAATTAAGATGTTTGAAACTAGCGAAATCAGTCATACTTATTAAAAAGTTTCTGTGATTAAGAAACATTTCCCTGAATTTGAACTAAATTCCCTGAGATTCCACGATTTTTCAGGTTTTTTCAGGTAGTCGACACCCTGCTGGAAGAATTGACCCTCACATAAACCTTCTTTAAAAACTCATTAATTTATCCTCAATGACAAAGATTCACCTTGTAACAAAAAATTTAATTTCGTGTAATATCTTTCACATTATTGTTATCTAGGCTATTACAAACGTAAATGCTTGTTCACTTTGACGGCACCATGAATTTATGTTGCATTTAACTTCATTACAAATTTAGGTGATAACAAATACTGCACCTGTCAACTAACAATTCACATGATTTCACTTGAAGATGATCTTTAGCCCGAGTGAGTGACAAAAACTGTTTTGTCAATATCGCCGTGTATGGCCGAACTTCCACAGTTGTAAATTGAGAGCTTTCTATTAGCCTGTCCTGTACGATTTTTGCATTAGTAGTATGGCGTGGTAAGTACAACCATATTCTATGCCCAGGGAAGTCGAGAAATTTACCAACCTGAAAAATTCCTAGACTGGACCGGGAATCGAACCCAGCTGCTTTTACCGACTGAGCTAAGGGAGGCCCCACTGGAAAGTCCACCAAACAGAGTATAAGTAGCTTCTAAGTCACAATGGAACTCTCTGGACACGCCAATAACAAGATTGAAATTCAGTTAATTGTGCGATTTAGACTATCAGCCTATATCGCACAATGATAACGTATTTTCCGAACAACAAGCTCTGGTACTATCTTCGGTCCCAAGCTAATCGATGCACCCCTTGAAACATAAGAAAATCCACGAACCCCTCATTTTATCTGTCAAACTTTCATAGCGAATCAAAACAAACATACACGGATAGAAATCTTCTTATACCTTTCGGCAAATTTCTATTGCTGATTATTCATAAAATGTATAAGTCAACTAATAAGCAGACGCCTTGCAAAATGTTAATGAAAATCATGTGTCGAATGAAATGTATAAGCGATAACACATACCTTTTATGCATTCTAATAGGACCTATGTGGCTTGTCTTATGGAATGTATAAGGCTGATGTTTTGGCAAAAATGTATAAGTGAAACACATGAATAAAATAATTGATTTTCGTTTCGTGTAGTGTAGTACTAGAATTTCGACTAAAATGGGGTACGTTAATCGTTTTGCTTGGGACCAATAGGCTAGTCAAGTAGTGAGCCAATTTAAAATCGTTAGTTGTTACCGGTTGGCTAAACTATTTGGAATGACTTTGTCCTAAAATGATAAAAATAGTAGACCTTTGATTTGTTCGGATAATTCTCAGACACCCTGTATTGATCATAACACCTGAGCAGTTCCACGCCAAATCACGAATCGGAAAAAAAACTCGACCTTCTCCAATTTGCATAAAACTTTTTAAACACAATCACATTTTTTCAAATGTTCGGTCATGTTGGATGCTGTATTTGTTTTTTTTTTTCAAAATAGCGTCTTTGTAATTTTCCAATATATTGTAGCACGAAACGTCACTTCTGATCGAAATTACGTCTGAGACAAATTTGTAGAGAAATATGAAGTCTTTCTGGGAAAAATATACATGGTATTTTTTAGTAATTTTGAGTAAAAATTCAAAAAAGTGTTGAACACCAAAAAGTATATCTTCCAGCTAGCTGGCATCCCTATCTTGTTTGCCTTGCCTTGAAAAGAGCTAACATCGCTGCGGACCCGCGAATTGCGGGCCCCACTGACAGCTCATAATTTGTAAACAAATAGAAGATTCAAGCCAGAATTTCAAAAAAGGCGTGACTGATATTATGGATATCCTTAATATTTTTGCTTACATTTTGTGAAAAATAAACTTAGGACTCATAAAATATTATTTTCTGATTTTCTTCCACGAAGTCAACCATTTATATGGCATAAAAGGGAAAATAATTTCATTTGATAAAAATAAGACAATTCAGTCACGCCATTTTTGCAGTTCACACTGGAATTGTGACGTTTCAGATGTTGGTTTCAATAACATGGCGGCATGCCAGCCAGCTGATATCTTCAAATTATTTTATTTAAAAACAAAGCTTATAAAAATGCATTTTTTTTTTACTTGTGGAGCTCTGGACACTTGAAAATTGACAAAAATCGTTGAACAAGAACTTTTGGTCAAATATTTTTAACTTATTGCTAGTACGCTTTTTTTGTGTAATGTCTACATAGGAAACAATATTTAAGACATTCAACAACGTTACCTGTACAAAAATTACATAAAAAGCTAGTTAACAAGAAGTTTAAAAATATGTTCAAAAGTTGATGTTCTACGATTTTTTGTCAATTTGCAAGTGTCCATTGTTTTAAATACTCCTAAAATTTGCATTTTTCGTGAGCTTTATTTAAAAAATAAATTATAAATATTGAAGATACAATTTTTGAAATTATTATATATTTTTTTACTTTTCTAAACAGCTTTGTCTCAGGCATCATTTCGACCAGAAGTGACGTATTAATGCTACAATTTATTGAAAAATGACAGACGCCATTTAAAAAAAAATACAAGATCCAAAATGGCCGAATTTTTGCAAAAATGTGAAAGATTGCCCACAACACATTATGATTATGCAATTGCAATTGCAGTTACATGCAAACTGGGGAACGTCGAGTTTGATCCCATGAATTCTTTGCAACATTTGGATAAAATTTGCGTCAATTATAAAAGGAGCACCACACATAAATCTGTGTTCCTACGTTGATTACCCCTGTGTAAATACGAGCGATAAGTCATGAACTTATCTCACGAGTACTCACATTCTCCTGCCTAATCTTTAAAGTCAACATCATCAACGTCAAGTTAACTCACCGAACAGCACAGCAGCACCCTCAGCCAGCAGCCAAATCGAGATGTACTTGTACAGCGAAACTCGTCCCCACATGCCCATGTAGACATGTTTCATGAAGAACGATTCCTGCTCGTACTCCGGCGACAGCAGATACGAATCCGACACAATCTGCGACCCAACCTGGTTCACAATCAGATAGAACGTTCCCTGCAGGAACTTTTTGGCAGCGTACGACGGCGCTCCGGTCGTATGTGCCTCATATTGACCGCTGATGAAGCGTCTGAAACGAAGCAGTGAAAACTGAGGCCCTACAAGCACCGAAGCCGGAAAGTAGGTGAACGCAATCAGCTCCAGCAACGACGGAACATCGATGCATTTATCATCCCGTTTGTTCTGACGCTCCTTTTCGCGACTGTCGGAAATGTCGAACGCTAAGCCGATTAGCCGCAACACCAGCACACAGTGGGGCATAGTCCATTTTATGTCGTATGTGTCCGACGTAGTGAAGTAGTAGCCTGCAAGCAAAACAAATTAGGTCAGTCAATGTAAGCAAGTAAACAATTTCTTTCGAATTCGAGATGGTGAGACGAACGAATACAACAACAACAACAACAACTGTGCTTACCAATGAGTAAATAACCGAGATGATAGCAGAAACTCAACGGCAACAGAAGGCTACTGGTGGCGAAGAATGTGTTGAAGAAATAAGTAGCGGCCACCGCCAGAACACTGTGGTACAGATCGAAGCCATAGTTGAACAGAATGATAATGATTCCGGAAATAGCGACGTACAGGTTCTTCACAGTAGCGGAAGCCTTAAGGTTTCGATAAACTGCACCAAGAGGATATGCTGGAAGAGAAGGAACGAATTAAAAAAGCATGTCGCAGACAGGTTTATGGGCTGTGCTCAGTGGGTGTATACTGAGGATGTATTTGTACTGTAGGTAGGGTAAAATTGTATAATACGCCTTTCCCCTTCTGGGGCAAAATGATTCCACGCCGTTTTTCAGCGCTTTAACGTTCGAAATTCGTGAATTTGACGAGCTAGGTCAGAATGTCAATTACCAATTCTGCATATAAAATCCTACAATTATGAACGAAAAAGGCGTCGCCATTTTACCTCAGCGGGGGCGTATTATACCATTTTACCCTGCTCATGTATCGAATGAGTGAATGCAGTTGCTAAAAATAAGAAAAGAAAATCAATAGCACCCAGGTTATTTTATCTCACCGTAGCAGAAAGTTCGGAAGAGGCGTTTTGAAAACTCTATGGTCAGTGTTGCTAGGATTGGATATACAACATCCATGGGGCTATCTGTGTACCACGTGGGCAGAAGCGTGAATATAAACACAACCTTTACCCACCTTCCCGGATGTCCAGGAGGATTTTTTTTGTAAAGTTATGGCAAACATTCTTTTGAATATAAAAACCAACAAAGGATCAATAAAACAATTAAAAACGCTCCTTAAAAAATATGCAAAGATCCATAAAACCCCGATGGAAATCCCTAAATAAGTGTGAATGATACATGAATATCAATATGTAAAATTTAGCAACACTATTGTAAAATTGTACCGAAAAATTTCTAAAGAATGAGCATTTAAATTGTACGAATTAACCATAAACATACTGCAAATGATCCATAAAACATTTAGCAATGAACCTTAAACTAATGAAAGTGATCCATAGAAAATCAAGTTTGTACTTAAAAATATTAATATAAATTAGACTATATTGTTCATGTTTTGGACACTATTTTTGTTCCAGAAACCTTGAAAAGTTGCTCCATCACTGCGTAGCTACGTAGAATTACTTACCTACATACGTCTTTCGGAAGGGTTAGGAGGTTAGGTTAAGTTTTCTTTATTTCAACTGGTTCGCCTCCAGCCTTTCGGAAGGGAAGTAAAGCCGTTGGTCCCCGGTTTATGAGTTGATGGGTCGATAGGTAGGGTCCAGGTTTGGGAGTTGCCTCCCTGGCGTCGATAGCATTACTGAAAACAAGATCGACGGAAAACAAATCAAGGAAAAAAAGCCTGGCAAGCGTCTAGGATTAGCTTCCAAAAAACGCTTCTAAAATAATCTTCCTAAGAAACTTCCTATGGATGCTTCTTTTAGAATCTTAGAAGTTTCTTTTAGAAGATTATTCTAACACACGCCCATCGCTCCGCTCTTATGACAAAAAAAAAACACTGGTGGAACAGTAAACCTGAGTACACAGACTGTCCAGTCTGTGCTGAGTAGCTACGTAGTAATGGAGCAATTTTCCAAGGTTTATGGTTCAATTTAAAAAAAATAGTGTCCAAAACATGAACAATTTATGGATAGTGTCTATATTTTTAAGTCCGTGAACTTGTTTTTCTATGGTTCAATTTCGTTAGTTTATGGTTCATTGTTGAAAGTTTTATGAATCATTTGCAATATGTTGGTAATTCGGGCAATTTCAATGCTCATTCTTTAGAAATATAGCGGTACATTTTTACAATTGTGTTGCTAAATTTTACTTAAAATAGGGATCATATTGATATTTTTTTTATTGCTCATTCACACTTATTTTTTATTGATCATTCACAATATTGTATGGATCGTTTTATCGATTCTAAAAGTGCATACGGCATTTTTTATATGATTGAAGTGACTCAATGGTTTCGACTTAATAAGCAATAGTAAGACTATTCCCGTTCTTTAGAAAATATTTCGTCGCTCAGGAACAGATAATGGTCAAGTCACGAACGAGTTTCCATTTTTGCTCTCTAAAAAATGTGCCATATTGTGAGATGTGGTAAGACGCAAACAAAGACAACACATAATATTTTGGAGCAAATAAAAATGAGAATCAATAAGTGAACGACATCTCAAACTCTGCTAAAAGCAGTTAAGTAGTAGTAGTAGTAGTAGTAGTAGTAGTAGTAGTAGTAGTAGTAGTAGTAGTAGTAGTAGTAGTAGTAGTAGTAGCAGTAGTAGAGAAACGCAGTATCAAAAGTTCTTCAAACCTTGCTGGAGTTTAGATCTTGAAATTCTATAATCCATGCAACATTTTGTGGAATACAAAGATATGTTACCAAAATACTTATCATAGGGGAAATGGATGCAATATCGGCCTAAATACCCTTAATTTATGGCCATACATAAATTCAGCAATCCACTAAATTTTCAATAGCGACCAAAATTTATTATTAGTACCGTCCCAATAACGCGTTCATCTAAATAAAATTGATAAATAGCAGATTTTCACCACCTCAAATTTTCCTGGAGATATTTTACATGATAATCGAAATCTTGTTCGATGTCCTCCACTCAGAATGTTTGACCATTTTCTGCATCACGGAGATTCATAACATAATTTAAAATGTTTAATTGTGTTTAAAAATAACATTGTTGGACTATCCAAATCATACCGTATATCTATCTTGAAGTTCTGCAGACTCCACAAGGCATACGATGATTTGACTTAATGATAGAATGAGTAAACCTTCGCGAAGCCCAAATTGGTTTGGTTTATTAGGTTTTCTAAAATTTCTAGAGTTCAGCTGTTTATTATTCTTTATTATAGCCACATTAAGAGCCAACTTATCATCACTAGATTTACTTTTGCATCTTCTTCTTCTTCTTCTTCTTGTATTCCTAATTCATCACTTTCTAAAAGTATTGGTAAAATTCATTGGTAGCGTGCGTCGGCGTGCCAAAACATTCAATGGATCATAAATATCAACTGGTATGGTGAGCAAAATCTTCCATCTCTTTGATTCTTTTACTTTTCAATACAACAGCAAATGTGACGTCACACATGCACATGTATAAGAATGTCACAGACAAAACATTCACACTGCCAGACCACGCTGTATGACATTTTGTTTACACCTCTGATTTGATTATTTTCATTTTACACAAATATAACGTTGTAGAACGTGTTGGGTTGTTTTTCACACTCAGATCGAATTAAGGTTCCATGCAGAATTGATGATAATATCGAGGCTTTAGGCTCTGGGATCGATAATATTCAAAATATTGTTTTTTTTTCGGATGTGGCCAATATGTTCCAAGGCACTCGATTTGACTTTCATTGAATTTGTTTTTGAATTCGCATGTGATTTGAGGTGTCGCATGATGGGTTTTGTTCCAAGTCAGCAACTGTCCACTTCCTCGGAGGCAGCCGGAACATGTCCAAATGTGGAACTTGTCTTCGAATTCTCATGTAATTTGATGTGTCGCATGATGTGATTGATACGTTTCAGGTCGGTTCTACACTCATAACCCGTATTCGTCGGAATTCCATACAATGGTTACACTGTTTTACTTACATGCTATGCATTATTTCTAGTATGTTTTAGTCGGTTTTTAATTTGCTCTTTTGACATAGTGATGCTAATGACTTCCCAGTGTAGATTATACTGTCGCATCATTCGATTGATGGGGCCATTTTTTTTTTGCGTAATTCTTTCTGTGTGATTTTTCTGAGAATAATTTCCGTGTTCCAAGATGCCGACAGGTTGAGTAAAAGTTTAATTGTGAGAGCAATTCTGATGATTCTATGCGATGTGAAATAATGTCATTGATGAAGAAAAGCAATGCAAATTCGCGGCATTCTTTGAGTGTTTGTAAGTTGATGAGCATATGTGTGCTTCATATGGTGGAAGAGGAAATGTGGTCCAAATCAATTTGCGAAGGGCTTATAAAAGGAATTGGATTCCTCGTGTATGGCAATGTACGAATACCATATTAGGTTACAGTATTCCATACTAGGTCTTAAATATGTAATGTATAATAATGTAATAGTGTAGGGGTCTTGAAAATTATTGCTGAACTTCTTAATGAAGCCCAGCATACTTTTGACTTTCGATACGATGGCAAGTGAGTTTGCAGTCTAGGAATACACATAGGTCCCTTACAATTCGACAGTGAGCATGCGTAAAGGCGTAAACGCGATGATCGATTCTCTTCATCGATTTTCTCTTTTGTTAGTAACTAAGCTAGATTTAACGTTTCTCGGTGCGTTTGCTGTTGCTTTTGATAGCCAATACAACCTGTTACAACTCTGCATTGAACAAATTCTAGAAAATTGTTTCGCTTAGCCAGCAATGCAAAGAGAAAATCGATGAAGAGAATCGATCATCGCGTATACGCCCTTATGCATGCTCACTGTCGAATTTTATTTTTGTCTACTTTTTGGTTGACTAAACATATTTAGAAAAGACGTGTTTCTATTTTTGTGTTAAATACTATTGCGTTATTTATTTTTTACATTGAGTTGGACTAGACTTTTACTACAGCAAGTGCAAAATAAGTTGATTTCATTCTGGAATTCTACTGCGTCGCTAGAATTAATTATTTCCATGTCGTCTGCATAAACAAGTACTTTTATTTTTAAGTGTCTAGGAAATGTCGTTTACGAACAAAATAAAAATAATTGGGCCTTAATAAGAACCCTGGAGCACCCCAGAGGTGACCGAAGTGGGTTCTGAAAGTATTGGAACCAATTCAAAAGTCTAGATTCCATTCCTATGTTTTGCAATTTAAAGAACATCTACGTGCTTGCCACTGCGTTAAGAATGAAGATTACAAATTCAAGAAGATTATATGTAGCTGAGCAACCTTTAAAAAGGCCGTGCAGATTGTTTGTAATTTGATTTTTTACTTGCTGAAATTTTTTGTCGTTTACGATTGACTCAAAAAGTTTTTGGATGCAAGAGATAATGGCAATTCCATAATAATTACGGATGTCTTGCCTGATTTGAAAATAGGCACCAAATGTGACGATTTTCAAGTTTCGATGCATTTTCCATTTTCAGAGACATATTGAAAAGCCGTTCTAAAGGAAGGGAAAGCTGTTCTGAAAGATTCTTCGAGAATACAGGTGCAATTCCGTCAGGTCCTGGTCCTTTAGATTTGTCCAATTTTTTAGTACATTGAGGACTTCATGTTGACAGATATGTTGTTAGAAATTTCGGGAATGAATGCAAAAAATTATCACACTAAAGCTTCGTTTTAGATAGCATTTCCAACCAACTCTGAAAATCGTAAACTACGCGTATGAAGTAACATGAAAACACTTTGAATGTTTTTACATAATTGAAAAAGATCTTAGGACATGATTTGACTTCATTTTCGACTTTACGATTATATTCTTCATGTGCAGAGTTAATGGCTGTGTTGAGTTGGTTGCATATGTTATGATAGTGTTGTAAATTTGTGCAACTGCTTTCCTTTTTGTATAATTTGTGTGCTTTCTGGTTTTTGTTCTTCAAATGTTTTAGTTGTGGATGGAATATGTTCATACATAAAAAACCTAAAAAAAAAAAAATACGGGATACTATAATCTCCCCCAATAATAAAATTGTGTAACCAAAATTGTTCAACTTTGTAACATGTAACTATCATAAGTCAAAACTCTAATGACTAGCAACACTGACCTTGCAAAAGAAATAAATCAACAACACCCGCAAACGTAGATACGAGCCCCCTTTCACAGTGTTCAACTTCGAAGACGACAAAGCACCCACAGGCTTTTGAGTTATACTTCGCTTTGTTGCACAACGTGACACCCGGGCAACGCGTAGTCACTGTATAAGCGCAATTTGATTGTAACTTGGAAAGTAGGCAGCACACCCGTACGGAATGACATCCACTTAGTTGTTTCGCTAAATTACTAATAACAGGAAGATTTTGATCATACTCACATACTAGCACGGAAAGTATCAGTCGAATAGCAGGCTGCGAAGCGCCCGATAAATTCGCTAACGCTTCCACCGGATTCAGCATCCTCGTCGCTTGCTGTGACGATTCTTAAAACTGTTCCACTTTTTGTCCTACGAGTCGTACTCGTTCTGCTCTGTAGTGATGTTGTGCACTCGGATGGCCTCGAAATTGCAGTAGGCGACCTCCAAAACCGCACCACTGCTATATATAGCTATATATGAACGACGACGGAGATCTCTTTCTTCTCTCGCAGTAGGCTCTTCCGCTTTGTTTCACTCTCGCTAACCCTTTTATTGATGCAATTTTTTTTACACTTATTTGGTACTGTTTTCACCCTTCTTTCTCCGGATTAATAGCAAATTCGCCGCATTCGGACCACAATATCACAATCGATCTTATATAATTTGTTTTTCGCCACAAAGCGGCTTGTTATTATCGTCGTCACGAAATCGAGTAGAGGCAACGAGGACGGTAGGCCTAAAATTATATCACTTTCGCTAATTCATGGCACGTGAAGCCAACGCTGAATCAGAACTCCATCTAAATATCACTACTAATCGGGCGTCTCCACGGTTTTCATCGATCGCCGGCCTGTACAAAAATAAAGGATCACAGAAAAATTGACTACTTTTTTCGACAAAACGCGAGGAAAATCAACCTCCTTTTCCTCGAGAAACGCGGCGAGCCGACCTACTCGCTCGCACGGTTACACGTCGAAAGAAAAGCTATGCTACCACGCACAGACGGACAGACACTCACACACATTTTATGCGACACACATCGAACACGAGGAAAGGGAAACCTCAAAGTATGTGCCGAAAAAGGGGGGTTGCCCTTATGCTTCACTTGTATGTTTACTCACGTTCTTCGTTTCCTGCTCTCGAAGGCCTCTCTATGGCAACAAATGGAACAATTTTATGCTGCTACTGAATGATAACTAGATCAAAAATAATGCAAAGCACCTGGAGTGTGGTGCATGGGAAAGAACTACTGTAGAGACGACAACGCGACGACGACCGCGATTTATACAATGTGCTCTTGTCAAGGGTCTGAAAGAAGACTGACAAGTAAAACCGAAACATAACACACGAAACCGAAACTGTAGCTGTGTCGTGTGAATGTGAGTGAGTGGGAGATTGATACAAGAAACGAGATAAAGTTCACAAATGTCAGTAGAAGTGAGTTGGTGTATTTTTATGTAATGGCAACGATCGAGGTAGGCTATGCTCGGTATCGCTGATAGGCTGTCGGTTTTATAGCATACATTTTTTGTACATAGAGGTACAGAAATTTATGTAATTTTGAATTCTAGAAAATATGGTTACATGTCGATTGCCAAATTACTAAACAATTACCGCTTAATCCTCATAATTTGACATAGATGTTATCAAAAACTTTCAAAAATGTGCGAATAGGTACATAATTAAATTGATTGATTTTTATTTTGGTGATTGACCAAACTTTGCGAAAATGTTCAATAGATGAATATTGAAGAATTTCATTGTCACATAATGCTTTTTTTTTCAATCTCGGCTTAAACCATTAATAAAAAAGTTACGATAAATTTTCTTCAGTTGGGAGAAGAAGGCGAATACAGTTCTGCAGAACATGTTAGTAATCGAAAGGTGATGTTCAATGCACATTCTGTAGGTGGAAGCTCGGGTGAAATGAAAGCTCAATCGTGCGAAATAATTACATTTATATTTATGACAATAAACTCGAAAAATATTTATAGCTTTCCAACAACAAAAATATAGCAATTTGGTTGCTTGTGTAAAAGCTCTGAAAGTATCTCTGAAACATGAACTATTAGAGATAGAAAACTGATTTCTTCAGAAAATTTGCTTCAAATTACCAGTTCTGCAACTTTATCGAACATTGTGCAGTTCTAGGGTGACCCCTAATGTTGTTAACTCACTAGTGACACAGAGTCACACTACTCCCAGAATAGAGGTGTCAGTTATTTTTGATAAACTGTTGGCAAGTTGCATCTCAAGCAGTTTCCTGTTGACTGTATTTACACTACAAACTTTTTACATCATTTCACAGACTTGGTCTTTCCGTTACATCATTTAATATTCTTGTTCAAACTTACTTTTTTAAAGACTGTAAATGAACACTTTGAAACTAGATTACAAGTTCCCATATTTTGATGCTTCATTTTCGCCATAAAATTCGATGAACATGCTGTAAGTGGCATTTGTAGTACCAACACATGCGGATGGTGCTCCGAGTGAACTCTTATCAAAGCTAAAAAAAAAACTTCTGTTTGTAAACAAACATAGTTAGGTATTCTGATAGGTATTCAGTTTTTCCATCGGAATGGAATGTACAATATGTTACAGAGTAGATTCGAAGCTAACTCCGGTAAGTTATAAGTAATACAACTATTAGAATTAAAACTAAAAATTCGAAGAATCCTATATACACTTCGCAGATCGACGCGAAATTAGTTGCACAGCATCGCCTTTGCGATCGATGTCTATCGGACCTATTTACGAAGGATTTTGAGCAAGGTCTATCCAGCGACAGTGATGATTCCACGTCTAATTTCGAAATCAAAAGCAATTTCAATTTGGCAGACGAATTGCACTTGGAACACGAAAGCTACCACGAATACGACGATGATGTTAGCATTAAATCTGAATCCGGTGTACTGCTAATCGACAAAGACGCAAATACGTTGGAAGAAGATGTTAAGCCAGCTACGATAAGCAAGAAAGCCATTCCGAAAGACAAGTTGAAAGAGAAATGTGCACTTTGTGACGAGCGGACCACCAATCGGAGATCTTTGGCGGCCCACATGCGAAGAAGTCACCCGGAGGAGAAAGTTAATCGATGTCACATCTGTCGACTGTTCTTCAAGGGCGTCGAACAGTTTGAGGAACATATTCGAAGCGAGCATGCAGGATTTAGTCATATCTGCGTAGTTTGCTTGGAGGGCTATGGCAGGGGGGAGAAGTTGGAACACGAAAAGAGCTGTATAGGACGGCTTTTGTTTGAATGCATCGAGTGTAGAGAGCAATTCGTATCAAAGGAAGGACTGATGAAGCACTTAGATAGTCATCAAGTATGGTGGTCGTAAGAAGAATAAGGGGACCGGAGGTAGATTGATTTTGCGTTTTTAGATTCTAGAAGACTTGAAGGAATCATCATACCAAGAAATGAGAGCTCTGCAAAGGATACACACCTGCGTGTTGTGCGATGATCATCAAGGTTATGAAGAGAATGCATATTGGAATCATGTTCATGTAAGTCGACAGAAATTGTTTTTTTTTTTTTTTAGATTAATTAAATGATTTTTTTTTCAGCGAGATCACGACGGTCGTCATCTTCGGTGTCCGGATTGCGGAAAAACCTTCCGCAATCGGAAGCACATGGTCGTGCATACCGGAGTGCAGTGCAAAGTGGGTGCCAAAGCGCGGGAGAAAGCTGCCAAAATGCAAAAGCTCGTCCAATCTCGGTGCCAGTATTGTTCGAAATCGTTTCGCAATCGAACGCTTCTCCAAAATCACGTGGCCAAGATTCACAAGGCGAAACCAGTCGTTTGCGACATTTGCGGATTAAGTCTGGCCAATCGCAATCAGATGCGGTACCATAGGGTAATCAGAGAAGAGCAATAGTTGGTTGAAAAATATAATTATTATTACTGGAAAACTTACAGATCAAATCTCACACCGAACCAGCGGAGAAATGTCCCCACTGCCCAAAACAATTCCATCTGGCCACCGATCTTCGGCAGCACCTGACGACCCATGACGTGATTGGGAAATTCATCTGCGAAGAATGTGGTCGCGTCTTTAAACGAAAAGTAGGCCTTGAACTACATATCAAATCGCACCTGAAGGATGCAGGTCAACCCAACAGACGGATGATTCCTGGAACGTCTGGAAAATACGCCTGTGAACTATGTGATAGAAGATTCAAGCATAATTACGTTCTCCTCACGCACATGAAGATACACGATCCGGATCGAGTGCTGGAGAAGAAGTATGATTGCAAAGAGTGTGATCGAAAATTCGCCACCAGTGCGGGGCTGTACTACCACATGAAAGGGAAGTACGTTCACCAGAAGATGACCTGTCCGGTTTGCAGTGCTGTGGTCAAAGGAAAGGAACGATACGAAGACCATCTTGCAGTACACTCGGAGCAAAGATAGGATATGCTTGCGGCTAAAATAAATTATGATCTGAATCGAAGGAAAACTTTCAAATGCTTTGGTAAGTGATACATCACATGTTCCTCAGTAAATTTCGCCACAAATTCTATTGAAAGAACTTTAGTTTTACTCCTGCTGATTCTCGCTATGAAGCAGATGATCATGAATATTTTTCGTCCTCATATGAGTGGAGAGATCTCCCCGAGTTTCGAATCCTTGGTTGCAAATCTGGCAGAACTATTTATGCTCACTTAAATGTGAATCAACGGGAGTCTGTAGCTCGTCGTTATCTTCTGAAATAACCCCAGAATTTTCGTACTGATGTTCACTTTCAGGTTGCTGCTCACCCGATTCTTTGAAATTCTCGTGAATCTCCATGTGCTTCCGATAAGCGGAACCTGTGCTGAAAGTTCTACTGCATATCTCGCAACACAACTCGCCACGCCGTTCCTCGTGAACCTTCTGGTGCTGCACCAGAGCTGCATTGCGGTAGAACATCTTCGAGCACTTGTCGCACTGGAAGATTTTCGTTTGATGCTTCGCCTTGTGGTAATTCAGCTTGGCGACACTCTCGAACGTTTCATCGCACCGTTCGCACCGAACCGTCGCGCCCGGCTCTATCGGATCCGTGTGGCACTTCATGTGCCGCATCAGTTTGTATTTGTTGCTGTACTCCTTGCTGCAGATGTAACATTTGGGCATCCCCTCCGAGTGAATGTACTCGATGTGCGGTTTCAGTTTGCTTTTTAACATACGATGGCAGATCGGACATTTGACGCGGAAGCCTTGGTGTTGGTCCTAGAATCAGCGAATCATCAATCTTCAACACTCGGAAGTGAGTAGGTAGGTGGTTCAAACTTACATGAATGTGACGCTCGTAGGAATCGCGATCATCAAACCGTTTGCCATCATCGCACAGACTGCACTTATAGCGACGGGTTTCACCGTGAACTTCGGTGAGATGTTCTCTCAAGTTGAATTCGTTGAAAGAGCACTCGCACATGGGGCATTTTTGGAGGTTGATGTCGTGTTTATCGTCCACGTGATTCCGAGCATCGGCGATATCGACGAAGAGTACTTCGTCGGTGCACTCTTCACAGCGGAAGCGAAATCCTTGGTGGATTTTCTACGAAAAAAATATGATGCATAAATGTGAAATATCATTTCATCATTTCAAACATTTCATGGTTTGTGAAGATGTTTGAAGATATGCTGAACAAAAAGGACGAAAAGGCGGAGTTTGAAAACGTTTTAAACAAATTGCTTTTCTATACATACCTCTGTATGATCCTGGTAACGTTGCTCACTGTCGAAGAACTTTGCCGGGCAAATCCAACACTTGATACGTTCAGTTTCATCTGATTGGCTGGTGCTTGATCCAAAAACATTATTTCCACTTACCATGGTTGTTTGTTAAGATGTTAAAACTTGATTGAATCGTTTAAATTATTTAATTATGGCACTCTTCAATACAATCTATTTGACATTTCCAAATACTTTTGCAAGCTCGAGCTCTGACATATTGATGTATGCATGTGTATTTGTGGTATTTAAAAATAATGTCAACAACATTGGAAGCCGGTCGCTTTGGATGAATCAAAACAAACACTATCCACCAAATGTCTGCCTGTGTAATGAATTCGTGTGTAATGTAAATGTAATGAATTCATGCTAAAAAGCTAAAAATGTAATGTTTTAAATAGTTTAGTTAACGTAAATTTGTTGATTGTTGAAGTTTATTTCTTGTTTATTTTAGTGGATAAAGTTTGGAACTGACAGCATAATGGTTCTTGCATACATATAATGTGTTATCATAAGACTGATTATGTACGCATACTAATCGAAGCACACGCGTTCAGAATGAACTCAAAGTTGCATATGCAGTTATTGCAATCTGCAAATACCGTTCATTTGCGTATGCACCATTAAAGATGCACTCTCAAAACATCGAAGGCTTCAATTCCAATCCACACGATGCCACCAAAAGAGAAATTTGTACATTGTACCGTTTGCCAAGCGAGGACATCAAAATTTACAGTGGTAAATATTGAAATTACCAACAAAAAAGTCTACCTCACAAGAAACTCTAAATATTGCAGATCAAGGGAGATCGTCTGTGCGGTGACTGTCTGTCGAGTTGCAAAAATCAAGAAGGCAGCGTTTCCGCTTTCATGGTGGAATTTATAGACCAAAGCCTACTTGAAAGTAGTAAACCAGCGACTACTTCGATGCAACCTGGTCCAGAGGTAAAGATCGAGACCGCTGCTGATGAGGATAAAATCGGAGATGCAATTGGCATCTACAGAGTTGGGTCCCTTCCGGAAGGCGTGGTTGTACAGATCGAAAATGATATAGGCAGCGGTAACGCGTCTCTTACGATGCGACATGGTCAAGATTTCAACAAACCGACTGTAACAGTGAAAATTGAGTTTGATAACGACATCGATAACGACGATTCCAGGGCACAGCCCGATGATCAACTAAAGGAACTTGGTGTAGAACCAAAAATTGAAGAAGAACTAACCATCGAGGAGCCACGTTTGACGGATGTTCAGAATACACAGGAACCGGTCGTCGATGTCAAGTGTCTTCAATGTGACAAATGTTTCCAACAACGCAAGGCACTGCAGCAACACGTGAGGCGTATGCACGAAGCTGAACCGGTCAACTGCGATGTTTGCGGACTGGAGGTGACCAACACGGACAGGTTGAAATACCACAAGGTTTGCACATCAAATCTGGACGCTTAAATTGGAAATGACAAATTTACTTTCAGCGTACAGTTCACGATTCCCCAAAGCTGCAATGCCCACACTGCCCGAAAAAGTTTAAATTGACTAACGGTCTGAACAAGCATATGCTATGGCACACTAGGCCTAATAAAGACAGCAAAACTGGCCATCTGAAAGTGGCGTGTCGATACTGTGACCACAGGACTACCAGTAAAACGATGCTCTACAAGCATTACGACGAGTTTCATGTGGACGACAGGATGAATCGTTGCCGCATATGCTTTCTTTGGTTTAAGGGGAGGGTTCCATTTGAACAGCACGTCCAAGAAAAGCACCAGGGCCACCAACGACAGTGCGACATCTGTTTGCAAGGCTACGATGAACTACTAGAACTGGAGCAGCATAAGGGAAAATGTCTGGGTCGAGTCCTGTTCGAGTGTGCGACGTGTCTGAGGAGCTATGTGAAAAAGGATGGGCTGTTGAAGCATTTCGCTAACCATGATGGAATTACAGAAGATCCCGAGAGTTTGTTCTCTGTAGTACGAAGCTTGCAGAAAATCTTCATCTGTGCCCTGTGCGGTGATGACCGTGGATACGAAGAAGAACCCTACAATACTCATGTTAAGGTAATCTAGTGGGTTAATCATGCAACAAACACATCAACAAAATTCACATAAATCTTGCAGGAAGCGCACAATGGATATCATCTGCTATGTCCGGATTGCGGATCCAAGTTCCGTCAGCACAGAAGCTTCGTCAATCACCGTTCCGGTCAGTGCCGGGTTGGTACCCGGGCTCAAGAGAAGGTCACCAGTCTATACGCACCGGTCAAATCCCAATGCCCGCACTGTTCCAGATGCTACAAGAATCGCTGGGGAGTGGAGGTGCACATCCGGAGGATCCACAAAGCCAAACCGGCCGAATGTGATGTGTGTGGGTTAAAACTGGCCAGCACCAGTCTAGTAAAAACGCATAAAATTTCGGTCCATACTGAACCGAAGTTTGAATGTTCTCTCTGCCAGAAGAAGTTTTCCAGCAAATACAACTACCAAAGCCATTTGATTTCGCATCAGAAAGAGGGAATAAATCTGTGCGAACAATGTGGAGGAAAGTTCAAGACCAAGTACATTCTAAAATTGCACATCAAACGGGCCCATGAGAACGGGACGATAACGTGTGTTAAAAAGGACCCGCCTGAGGGACCTTCCACCAGTAAAGAGCACATGTGCGAAATTTGTGAAAAGTGTTTCAGTGGTCCGGTGAGACTACGGATACACATGAAGATTCACGATCCCAACAGGAAGCAATACGGCTGCGAGATGTGCGACGCAAAATTCCTGACGAGGATTGGACTGAAGCAGCATATGGCAAACAAGGACGCGCACCAGGAGGCGACATGCTCCGTATGTAACACATTTTTCAAAACCAGAGAACGATACGATGAGCATATGTTGAAGCACGTGGAGCATGAAGTGCAAGAATGAGGTGAATGAGAGTGTTCAATAAAGATTTGGTTACATTGCAACAACATTGCAAAGCTATTGTTTCGTCAAGTGGTGATAGCTCACAGTCCACAGTAGAATATATATGTAGGGGAAATGTCGGCTTCGGCAATACCTTAACCTATTATCGTCAGGGGGTAAAGAAGTCCTAGAGCATTCAAATTTAGCTATGAAACAATGTAGGGTAGAGCGCTACTTCGTCGTAATCGCTTATTTCCGTTCTATTGATCAGAAAAGGTCAATAATATCAATGATTTCACCATGCACAAATCAATAATAAGTTTGTTCCGATGCGTTAGTTCATTAGCTGCAACATAAATCCTGTTAGAGCGCATTGTATGAATATTTACGCTCATTGTTCTCAAAACAAAAGAAGCGCTCCTAGCGAATCCCCTTTTTCTACGTTTATCCGTAGGACGAAGAAAATCTAATGGCGTTTCAATGCGTTAGGACGGAATTGAAACTCGTGAGACGAATTTAGAATCAAGAAGCAGTGTTAGATTTTAAACAATATCTCAACAATGTGTGACTCTTTATCAAATCCAACGGTACGTATGAAAAGGTGAATAAATTTAGAAGTCATCTTTGATAGAAATATTCCATTTTTTGTTCAAACCCGTTCAGAAAATAGAGGTAAAGTGAGGGTTGTGCTTAGTAGGACGGAAATTAGATCAAAAACCCTATCCACATGCCAAAATGGAGCTCTCAAGGATGTTGTTTACCCCTTTGACGATAATAGAGTAAGGTATTGCCGAAGCCGTAATTTAACCTATGTAGGGGAAATGACGGCTTCGGCATGACAGACTATTTTCGGCAACCCAAATTGAAACACTATTTTCACTGGATTTTCTTACGAAAACACTCCGCTGAATGCATGCAAACTACTCTTTATGCTTTCAGCTTCAATTTGACTATATTTTTACCACTGAGAAAAAGCAATCTAGCAAGGGTTTCTTGAAATGAAACACTCGCACTACATATTGTAGCTGATTTCGAGTTGCCGATAATAGAACAGCAGATTTACATGCAGTTCAAATGGAACGGTTGCCGAAGAAAAACTGGTTGCCGACAATACTCGCTCTCACTAGAGAAGATTGAAGCTTTGTAAAAGCGTTTCAAAACAGTTTTTGACAATTCTTTCGACTGAAATTGTTAGAGCAGCTGGCAGCAATAGATTGTAAACAAACCAATACTGCATATGTGTGCGTTCCTTAGAGAAAAAGGCTATAGAAAGAAGGTCGCTGCTTAGGTTGCCGAGAATACGTAAATTCCCCTATGTACAGCAATTCCATAGAAAAAAGTTTTAGTGAGTTTCTTGAAAATTGGTACAGTACTTCCTTTTCAAAAAATATTAGACTCGTATTTTTTTTTATACCACCAGTAGGGTGACCATTTATGTGCTAGGGTGGTTTGAAAAATATATTTTTTCAAAAATGCCTCAATAGAAAAAAATTAAAATAAATGAGAGTAGCTCCTTCATTTGTCAACGTTGCTACCACAAACTGTATGAACCCAATGATGCCGTGATCGAAGAAGCCGTTGCTGGATCATCCAGAATCACTGCTTTAGGTACGTTATTTGAAAATTCGTGTGATTTTTCTATAAATTTAAATTCTTTTCTTCAAACTACTAACTTCCACTTCTTTTTTTTTTTGAAATCATGTTTCAGAGTCCATCGAAGCAACCAGTATTGAATCGATTACCGTTGCGGGACCGTCCGGAATAATGGTTAGTTTTCCCTGCCAAGGTAAATAATAAAAAATAAATCATTCGTATGTTTTTTTTTCTCTAATAAATCAATCATTTTTTATAGTTATTTTCAGAGTCAGTGAAAACAACCAGTTCTGAATCGTTTCATCTTGTCATTAAATCGTCGTTAAACACTCAAACAAACATAAAAATAAAGCTGCCCAAATTTTAAGTTTTTTTTTTTTTTAATTTTCATTACGAAAATCGAATGGCTATTAAGGCTGTGAACCATTTGCCGAGTTAAATTTAACTTGTGGTTAAAAGTGACATTTCGAAAGTTATTTTCTATGTTCGAAAATCCCCGTGCTGTCGATCGACCGGTTTTCGAGCCACGGTTGTCAAAATTTAACTTCTTGTCTGTCAGAAATAACCACCCTCGGGTAGCAGGGTTAATCGATAACTTTCCATCTGTCAAATTATAACCAAAAGTTAAAAAATCCGCCAAATGGTTCAGAGCCTAAGTAGCTTCCGTTATATTTTATTTCGAAGATGCAGAATAATAATAATTCTAACTTTATTTAAAAAATGTAATATAATTTATTAAAAACAAATTAACAAAAGGCCGAAAAAACTCGTAGTTTTTTCGTGTGTTTTCGGCCAATCGTGATTCGGCCTTTTGTGTATTTCGGCCTTTCGTAGTACTCCCATATTATGATCTAATACTTAATATGAAATATTATCGGTATAGATGAAAACTGGAATAACCCATCAGCGAGAAACCATTTTACTTTTGTTCTGTATGTTGAACATAGTGTTGGAAGTAGTGCGCAGTAATCACACAATAATGCGCTATGCGTAGGTAAAAGTTCGCGAATCGTAGGGAAAAGTTCGCGAATCATATCACTGATTTACATGAATCAATTTTAAAAATGCTCTTATATGTACCTAGACATAATAATTATATTAGCAAATTAAGTGCTTCCAATAAAAAATTATCATTTGTATTCAGTATAAATTCCAAAACGAAATTTCCTTCTAAAAAATGTACCCTCCTATTAATCCCTTGCTGTTCTTCCATTTGTCTTAATTTCGGGGTAATGGGCATTCGGGGTAGTAGGGCATTCGGGGTAGTAGGACATTCGGGGTAGTAGGACATTCGGGGTAGTGGCATTCGGGGTAACGGCGTTCGGGGTTATGGCGTTCGGGGTAGTGACATTCGGGGTAGTGTCACAGAATCGTTAAAACTGTATTTCAATATTGGAAGATTGCCGCAAAAGCTCAACGCAGATGTCGCCACTGCATGATGATGATAATGTTGACAGACTGCATATAAAATTCGTGAAAATTAGCATTAAATCATAATTTTCATCAAACCTGCGTGAAATCCTTCCAACATAACATTCGATTTGAAGAAGAAAACGTTTTTACGATCAGACTGATGTGCATCTTTGACTTTTCCAGGTGAACTTTTATAAGATATATTCATTTCATTTCACGGCTCCATCAATGCGATGCAAATATGATGGTAAACAGAAGTAAATTGCTCACTTACTCAAAATAAAGATATTTTGTCATCTTGTTATCACTTTGAAGACCATCTAGCACCATTTTATAGTATGGTGCGTGTTGAGTAAATCAAGTTCCGGTGCGTTTTCCGTCGAAAATTGTGAGTATCAATATGTTTGCTTAAAAAAGGCCAAAATGAACAATTGAACATTTATTGAATATTGGCGTTCTATACAACCAATTCTCTATTACCACCAGCATGATACAACCTTTCCTAAGTAAATTAACTTAATTTCCCTTTTCATCTTAGTGAAAATCGCACATATTCACCATTTTCTGAAAAATGCAGCTGCGCAGGAGGTAACCTCTCCCTGTGGGTGCAAACTTGTTATGCATAATTTGCCATGAAAACATCTCCGATCCATACCGAAATAATAACAAATAGTTTTCAAACACGTTTTCTTACACGATTCAAGCAAAAGTTTCCATGGGAAATTATTAGTTTTTTTTTATGGACCGATTTGCCCCAAAAAGCGTCGGTTTTACTTGGAAAATTTTGAAACTATCCTCCTTCTAGTAGTTCTCACTTCGAAATGTAGGTGACGAAACCTTGGAAAAGTGTCACTGCTAGACGCCAATAGCGAGACTCGTCTGTTGCTTTTGTTTTTATTTGGACATTTACGCGCACTGATGTCACGATGTCATAGAGATTAGTGACGTTTAACGCACGCACCACGTAAAGTTGTTTATTATTTTCCTCTGGCTAACTTAAAAAATGTATGTAATTAGATCGGTGAAATGACTTTGACAGCGATTTGTTATGTATTTTCCTCGGATTTTCACTAACACTCTCTCACATATCGCACCAATTAAACCGGCCGTGAAAATCTCTATAGATACAATATTTTATTCGTATTTAAATTTCCTTCATAACGAACCGACTGAAGCCTCATTGTAATAATCGAAACGAAGCATTTTTCGTAAGAGCGCTAATATGAAAAAAGTCGTTTCGATTAGTTTGCATCAAGGGTTGCATAATTTTTTTCAGTATTCATTTTTTTTAAATTTAAATTCGATTTCTACTATTTCAATAATTAAAGCACAGACACAGCCACAGCTGGCGGTATTACCAGCTACGATACTTTTAAATTGTTCGTTAAATGCTTGTTCGATCAACAACTTGCGAGTGTTATGTCTGTTTGTCTGTGATTAAAGTATACCTTGAACAACTAAAATCATAAAATTTACATAGAATAATAAAAAAATATATAATTCCAGAGTAAAGATTTATGGAATTACTCGAATTACTGTTAAGTTATTTTTAAAATTTCCAAATTATTTTCCAGCAGTAGGAATTACTGAAATCACCCATAAATTACGCACAATTATTTGTATTACATTGAAATTACTGAGTAGTTCAAAATTCACTAATTATTTTAATAATTTGTGGTAATTTTCGATTACCGATCACCTTGGTAGAAACCCCTCGCTCTCACCGAAGATTTAAAAAATAATAACCTGGCATCCCTACTGTGCAGTCATAATAAATAATTAGTTCCCTTTAGATGTATGTATGTAACGTTTATGTTTATATTATTTATGCTGTGCGTGAAAGTTCCAAAATAATTTTCCTATAAGTGATTCGTGAATCTGTGCATCTATTTTTGCATCAGGGAACTAAAGCAAGCTCCTTTCACCCAAATGCAATGACTTGCTCCTTCTGTAACAAAAGTGCTTCCAAACAGGTAACAGACCAGAAGATTTTGTAACGGTACCTCTTGCAGTCCTTCATCGGTTTGTTTATTCAATTTCAGTATTATTTATGTGACTGCTGCTTGGTGAATGTGGAACGCTGCAATGCTACTGCGAAAAACTTGTTCCTTGCTCAGGAAAAGTCAGTGCCTGTTATACCACCGGAGGAAGATGCCGGTGGACGGACGATCGAGTGTGATTTATATCTTGGAAGATACCAGGAGGATGAGTTGCTGCAACATCGGGAAAGGTGCACGACACTATTGGTGTTCCGATGTGCCGTTTGCCACCAGGACTACATGAGCAAGGAGGGACTGTGGAATCATCTGGATCTACACGAGGTAGGGAGGGACTTTCTTTGTTTGGGTAGATCTAGGTATCTATTGTTTTTACATCGATAGGTTGCTGACGAGAATAAACAAATGGAGTATCAAGAACTGAGACTAGCAAACTGTCTACTCAAATGCGTACTTTGCAATGATCAACGCGGTTATCGGGAAAGGCTCTATTGGCAGCACGTTCATGTAAGTGTTTTAGAGTTAGATTGAATTTATTGTTCATCTTTCAGTTCACTTTATAGGAAGATCACGATGGCTTCTTCCTGCAGTGTTCAGAATGCGAGGAATGCTTCCGATCGCAAAAGCTTCTGACTGATCACGCCCTGAACCATTGCAATGCTAGAGAGCAAGCAGTACCCTCGATTTCTGACGGCACAATTGCTGATCAAAAGTATGTAGATTCTCAATTCAGCGAGAGCTCACATGATGATAGCAACCCTAGCCACATGGAGGACATTGTGGGTGTACATGATATGGATAAGCCCCTTATCAATACGGACACGGAAATCACGCAGCCATTTGTAGAGAAACTGTCTAGCGGTTCATCCGCTACCAAATGCCCTCATTGTGGCAAAGAGTGTTTTGATAAAACACTTCTAGCCCATCACATTAAATATCGCCATCCGCCGACCGAGTGCGATGTCTGCGGTATTATATTCACCAGCATAAACCAAGCTCGATATCATAAGGTTAGATGTTGTGTTTTGTCTTTTCTTTTTAAATATTCCAATCCATCCCTCAAAACAGTTGAAACACCATACGGAACAGAAGCACAAATGTCCGATGAATTTTCATCAGAAAACTGAATATCAACATCATTTGTCCAAGCACCTGGAGAATAGAAACATCCCCAGCGAAATAAAACAAACACACCACACAACTACCATTCTACCTGATCCCAAAGGCTGCAGTGAGCCTGATAAGCATCAAGAGCAAGAGTCCGATGTAAATGCATTGCAAGGCCGATATGAATTTGTTGCAATCAAGGAGGAAATTTCAGCCGAGGAAACAACGCTGCTGGAACAAGAAAACAATGTTGATGGTGATGCCACCATAATCAATTGTCCGATTTGTGGTGGACAATTCGGTAACAAGGACGGAAACCATCTTGCCATTCATGTCGAAGTGATTCATCAGCTTTCAATATGTACCATTTGCGGAATTATCTTCTCCACTGCTGATGAGCTTAAAGACCACAAGGTTAGTAGCATGCATATAATCATGTCCTATGCAAATCAACTAAGCAATTTCTCATTAAAGGATCAGCAGCATAGTGCGCTGTGTTTTAATAGAGACATCGCATCGCATCGCATCGCACATCGCAAGAGCACATCGAACCCTGAACCAGTCGAAACGGTCAAACCTAGAAGTTCACACTATGCTAGTTCTGTTTTTGAAAATCCGAAACCAGTAGCAGCGACTGTTCATGAAGTAAGTTGCCATTAAACAATTTCTCGATTACTTTTTGAAGGGACGTCGTAAACAATGCATTTGATCGTCGATTTGGCCTAACTGGTAGAGCTCGCCCAAGCATGCTGCCACTACCATCAGATAGAGGAAATTTTCCCCTAACTGATATTGATGTTAGTATGCGTGGGTCAATTACCAGCATTGGTAACAAAAGCTGAAACGTCCAATCGAAAAAGTAATCGTTATATTTGTTCACATGAACCGTATCATTAACAGTTTCGTATTCAATTCACAGCCCGATCCATCATACCGTGCTGATGAGGATGTCTCCAACGGTAGTTCTTTCGACGGCTGGGAAATCTATAGCACCGTACCGGTAAAGGAAATAGAATCGTACGTGCTGTCAATCGAGTTTGGCTTCCGGTTCAAATCTCAAAATATACCCTACAAAGGAAAGATGCGATATTACGATTGCCGGCGAATAAAGTGCCGTGTCGTTCCACAATGTGACAGAAAACTGCTAGTATTCATACCAAACACCGATGCGGATGCTACCATTAGTCTGAAGGGCAAGCATACATGCGCAACTGCTCCGCCCAAGAATTTAGCTCGCGCAAAGCTCAATGAAAAGGACTGTGAACTTATAACGAATTTAGTTAAATCTGGAGTACCATCTAGGGATGTGAGAAAGCACTTCAGAGTAGTGAATAGAGCAGTCTCGAATAATCAGCTAAGATATGCTGTTCAATCGGCGCTGAAAACGGTTAGAAAATGGTGAATTGCCATTCGCGCAAAACTGTTTTGAATTTTACGGGATTACTTACCCTACCTACTCGTTGTCGTAACGATCATTCAGATCAGACAAAAGTAACTCATCTATGGGGTATTTAGCAACAATCAAAATTGAGACAACTACCCTAACACGGATATTTTGGAAACTGTTCAATAGGAATTAAGTTTCTTTTTTTGTCAAACGATACATTTTTTGCTGGAAAAAAACTCAGTTAAAACTAACTTCATGTGTATAAATAATTTTCCCATTTAAAATTAAGGTCCAACATTCTTTGAAACAAATGTCCCTTATGCACAGTAATATGCAAACCGCTCAAGGTCTCTAGGTCACTAACCCGAATGCCACTAGCCCGAAAATAATAATTTTAGGAGATGTTTACTTCTTTAAAACATGAGCAGTTATTTCGCTGTGTGCACTTTGGGAAAATATGTGAGTTCTAGGATTTGAAAGTTTGATGAGATATCAGAATCTAATATTTTAAAGAAGATTTTGCCGTCTTTCAAACATGAACAGTTCTTTCTACAACTTTGCGATATTTCTGAATTTTAGTATTTGAATGTTAGATGGGAAATCAGAATGTAATGTGTATTTCACTAATTTTATGTGTTTGTCACTAAGTTAAAAATACTGGGCTAAAAATCAGAGTATTTTCAAGCGATTCGGGCTTGTGTTACATTCGGGCTAATGTTATAGCATCACAATTCGGACAGTGATCGAAAGAGCCGGTTGAAAACTGGATGCAAGGAGCGAACCCAAATAACATTAAAGGTTTTATCGAGGTTTTATAGCATTCTACAAGTCTAAATCATGGTCTACAGAACCCTTATAAAACCAAAAAATTTACTTGGGAAGCTACAGATAGCCCGCCACAAAACGAAAGTACGGTCAGTAACTGCAAAGCACCGTCGGGGAAAGCACCATCCAATAATAGGTAAAGAAGTCCCGAAGCCGTAATTTTCTCTATTTCAGAGTAATTTTCCAAGGGAGTTTCGCGAAGAACTCTATGAAATTTTTGACTAGAATTCCAAGTCAATTGTGAGAGTTCAGAGTACAAATTTTAAATAGCTCTGTGGAAAATTCCATGACGATTGTTGTTCCGTCTCCGCCGAAAGTCAACTGATACGAACACGACCAACAAGCAGCGAAGAACGAGACCATCAATAGGCTACAACATCCACCAATCAGCGACGACCACATCAACGCTCGCCGCTTTAAAAGAGACATGCATCACCGTGCAAAACAAGAGTTCTTTTCCGACCAAGCACCAGCAAACATCAGCAGCAGTAGAAGCAGAATTTGTAGAGAGAAAGAGGAGAGAATAAACAGTTGTTAGCGTAGCCGTCCCGATCAAGTTTATTTTGCACACATCCCTGGTTTGGAGCAGCGTCGAACCCACCAGCTCTTTTCAGAGCCCTTACGAGTTGATTTCCGATCGACGCTTGCTTCCTCCACCACCCTGCCGATACAGTCCACTACCAAAAGGGAAAGTTCCCTCCCAGTCCGAACAATTGTCAAGAGGATTCCAATATCGGTGAAAAATACGAAGGGAATCGAATTTTGAAAATATAAACCCAAAGGAATTCCACGGAATCACGAGGATATTTCCAAGGGCATCTCGAAAAAGCTTTTTGAAAATTTTAAGGAAGTCGGAGATTATTTTGAGCAAAATTTCAAAATAATTCTGAGGTAAATTTCATGAGAATTCTTCGGAGACGTCAAGCGAATCAATACATAATTATAAGAAGCTTCAGTGAATTCTATGAAAAAACACTAAAATTCGAAGATAATCTAAGGATGAACTTCATTAATTTTTTGGAACGGATCCCCCTATGAATTGTATATGAAACAGTAAGGTATAAGTTGCTGAATGAAATGATGTTGTCATTAGCTGCTAATACCTGCTAACCTGCAAGGTACACCCCCTTAAAGATAGTGTAAAAAAATTGTAAAAACTGGCGTAAATCCTTTAAACAAAGAGATAGCGATTTATTGTCTTCTGCAAAAATGTGCATTTTCTAAGCACTTCAACTTTGTAGAATATTTATTAAACGAGAAAATTCAAAGAAAAAAGTTATGGTGAAAAAACGTTTTTTAAGGGGGTACTACCGTTTGTAGTCCATTTTCACCCTATAACTTCGTCCACTTGAGAGATAGAAAGTTTACACCTTGGACAAAGTTTCTTAAAAAGACTTCATCTTCAATGTTTCCAAAGGTGTTCATCAAATTTAACTAGACATAAAAAAGTTATTTTTTTATCTGAGTGTATACCCTCCTTAACCAAAAATTTTCACTACTTAAATAAAGAACTTAAAAAATAAAGAAACATTCTAGAAGCCAAAAAAAAAGCTATACTCAATAGTTTCGTCGCAAATAGCCATGTCCCACTTTTTTTGAATTCGTCCCACTGTGCGGCGCCGGCTAGTCCCGCTTTTTGATAGATCGAAATTCTATCCGACAGACTATGAATATAGCGACTATACTATAAACATGGTGGAGTCGGAAATTTAGACTAGCAGCGACTCTGACTGGGATAGTGGGGATTATTCCGAGAGTCGAAGTGACTTTTGTCACTAGTGAAGTGAAAAAAGTCACGTCGGGGTGACGTGACTCTCCGTTTGATTTGCACAGAGAGTCACGTCACCACGACGTGACTTTTCTCACTTCACAAGTGGCAAAGTCACTTCGACTCTCGGAATAACCACCAGTGAAACAGAGGACCTAGTTCCTTCAGACTTCTCCAGATTCAGTGATGAGGACCCCATAATGAGAAGATCAATTTTTGTTTAAGAAGTCGGTCCGAGGCAGCGACAATCCCCCTTATTCTGCGAGTCACGTGACTCTCTGTCACCGGTGAGGTGACAATTGTCACCTCGTGTGAGGTGACACTCCATGTAAATCAAATGGAGAGTCACCTCACACGAGGTGACTATTGTCACCTCACCGGTGAGAGAGAGTCACGTGACTCGCAGAATAGGGGGGAATAACAACGCACAAACAACAATCCCAGCCTAAATTTATCGAATTTAGTTAAACAAGTTTTTGTTTAAAATCAATTGTTTTTCAATAGCTTAGTTGAATGGCAAGAGAATATTAGCACAAGAGAAGCTTCAATAAATTCTGACTATTTAATGATGTATTAGAGGGCGGAACACCTTTGCTGAATAAATCAACATTTTTTTTTATATTTTAATTTTCATTGAAAATATAAGTATGCGTAGAACAAACATTGTTCAGTACAAAAATCTCTAACTTCTAAATGTATTGGTTTTTGAAAATATTTACTTAAATATTTTATGATATTTAGAATTATGTTATGATATTTACAAATATATCTAAGTTGTCTTGCCCCTTGTTCTGTATTGACAATCATGAGATGGACCGAAAAGATTTGGATCACTTATGCGCCATTGACAAGGAGAGGTTATTTTAGCTTTATACCAATGGATCAATGGAAATGATGAGGTTTGGACAGAACTATGCTGTGGCTACCACAGTATTTTACATTTGATCGTCAATATACAGTAGCGCCAAAAGGACGATCAAATTTAAATACTGTGGTAGTTGCTACCACATGTTACCACAGTTGCATAGTTCTGTCAAAATATCAGCATTTTTATTGATTCATTGATTGGGTTGTACGGCTCTCACTACAGTTGCGTTTTTGGCACCAACATTTGAATTTTGGCACTTCTCTCTCACCAAACCAACAAATACGAGCTCAAAATGGAAGTTTCTCAAGATATAAGTACTACAATAATTAATAATATTGGTTGTATATGAAGAAATTAAAGTCATTATACACGCTTAATCTACTCTTACCCGCTTTCTTCTTCCACACTCAACTTCTGACCATCCGGACGCTCTGGGTAACCGTCTATAAATAACTCCTGGTATTCCTTAACATGGATAGGTAAATAGACCCGAAGTTCGCTGAATGTATGAAACTGGCAGAGTTCAGTGTTCTGTATGTTGATAGGTGATAAGTAGCATATCAATACGACCATATTGCGTCACTCACCTCATGATGTCGCATCTGATGGCGCATTATCAGTTTGCTGAGCTTTCAAATCGTCACCGGAAGCTTGCTCGCCGCATGCCTTAAGTCTAGCTGTAACTTTTCTCCAAGCTCCCTTGACATGATGTGTTCGGCTCAAATGCATACTGACATAGTCTGAGCTTTTGAACTTGCAGCCACATATTTCACAGGGAAACTTCCTTTCCGTTACATGCGACGACAAGTGACTCCGATAGCTATGTGTCGTGTGGTATTTCAACGGACAATGGGGACATTTGAACATCGGTTCCGTATGATATTTTAACTGTAATGCATGATGAGACCACATGAGAATGACGAAAGTTGCTAGGAAAACTATTGCTGTAAACAATAATTGCACAGTTATATTTTCGCAAAGGCAAAAAAATCTACTTATTTGTAAGCAGTAGCAACTTTAGAACAGTACTGGCAAGCTAAACTAATGAATTCGAGCTCCAGAAAGCTCAAACCAGTGCGAAAATATTATTGTGTACTTAATTTTAGCGCATCGGGAGGTGCGAAATCTGCAATACAATCAACATACCTTATGATAACGATCTTGCGCTCTTCCAGGTAAAGTAGTTCCACAGATATCACAACTGATCGGCTGATGACGATTTTCAATATGACGAGTTAGATTTGAATTTTCATGAAATTTTTTATTACAATGAGGACACTTCATTTTCGATGATGCACCCAATGAATTCTTAGCAGGGGAGTGCGCAATTTTCTCTGTCGTGAGTTGCGGCACATCGCAGTCGGCAGTTTTCAAACTAGGATCAGTATTTTGGGTTGATGAATTTCCGTCTTTATATTCTGGAACTGGACATGCTGCTTCCAGTGGTGTTGTTCCGTCAAGTGCTACATTATCAGTTTGCAGAGGCTTCAAATCGTCGCAGGATTCTTGCTCGTTGCTTGCCTTAAGGCTAGCTTTAACCTTTTTCCAAGCTCCCTTCAAATGATGTGTTCTGCTCAAATGCATACTGACATTGTCTAGGTTTTTGAACTTTCGGCCACATATTTCACAGGGAAACTTCCTCTCTTTCACATGCGAAGCTAAATGACTCCGATAGCTTTGTTTCGTGTGATATTTCATCGGACATTGGGAACATTTGAACATCGGTTCCTTGTGATACTTTAACTGTAATGTTATATGATGAAGAGCACATGAAGAAGGAAACAAGTTGCTTGGAAAACTATATTCAACATACCTTATGATAACGGTTTTGTGCTCTACCAGGCGAAGTAATTCCACAGATATCACAAAGCATCGGCTCATGGCAATATTCAATATGACGATTCAGATCTAATTTGGTATGCAATTGTTTGAAACAATGAGAACACTTTAGTTGAGATGGTACGCTCGATAAATTCTCAACAAGGGAGTGCGCAGTAAGTTGAGTTTTGCTACTAGTTGATTGCACAGCGCAGTTCTGATCCGTAAAGTCAGGAATGCTCACACCTGAAAAAAAAGCAGTTGGATTATCTTCAAGTTGAACTTCCACGTATTCTTTATCAGAACTCATGAGATTACTGCTTATTTCATCAGAGGAATCAATTTCTTGAGCTATTGAGTTGATTGATGATTCTCCGTCGTTATCATGCGGAACTTGGAGTTTTGTTTCCAGTGATGTCGCCCCTTCACTACTTGCTACAAACTCAGTCTTCAAAGCCATCGAATCATCAGAGGACCCTTGTTGTTGCTTGTTGCATACCGCAAAACTTTCTTTCACCTTCTTCCAAGCTCCTTTCACGTGATGAGTTCGGCTCATGTGCAGGCTGACGTAGTGTAGATTTTTGAATTTATTGCCACATATTTCACAGGCAAACTTCCTTTCCTCCACATGCGAAGCCAAATGATTCTCATAGGAGTTTTTCAAGTGTAATTTCATCGGGCAATGGGGACACTTGTATTTCGCCTCCGAATGGTTTCTTAACTGTATTCAAAGATTACGTGATAAAGAAAATAATTTGCTAGAAATGCAATAACCAAAATACCTTATGATAACGGTATTGATTTCTACCAGGTAAAGAAATTCCACAGATACCACAGATAACCGGTTCATGACAATTTTCAATGTGATGAATTAGCTCTCCTTCTTCTTGATAAAGTTTATCACAATGAAGACACTTTAGTGTAGCTGATTCACTCGATAAATTTTCAGCAAGGGATAGTGAAGTTTCCTCAATTTTTATCTGATCTGTAGCGACAGGAATATTCGAGCTATGACAAACACTCTCGATTGGATCTTCTTTAAATTGAAGCTGCACGTGTTCTTGATCCGATCTCATCAAATAATTGCTCGACGCATTGGATGAATCGATTTCGGCGTCCAAGTTTGATGCTATCTCTTCAGTCCGGTTGTCGTTTGTGTGCAGAAAACAGGTGAGCTGAAAATAGTTGAAAGTAATTGATTAAACCAGTTAAATTTATGTCGGTCTAACACCTATTGGAATATGAGCACCTTATGATCTTGCAGCTGATCAGTACTGGCAAAGGACATTCCACAGATGATACAAACGACTAATACATGATTCGTTATTTCGGCTGATGATTCTCCGTCATTATCTTTCGGAACTTTACTACTTGGTACATTCTCAGCTTGCAAAGTCATCGAATCATCACAGGATTCTTGCTGTTGCTTGTTGGATGCCGTAAAACTTGCTTTCACCTTCTGCCAAGCTCCCTTCACGTGATGGATTCGACTCATGTGCAAGCTTACATAGTGTAGATTTTTAAACTTATTGCCACATATTTCACAGGCAAACTTCCTTTCAGAAACATGCGAATCCAAATGATTTTGATAACGTTTTTTCAAGTGGAATTTCATCAGGCAATGGGGACACTTGTACTTCGGTTCCGAATGACTTGTTAACTGTATTCAATGATAGAGATAGCATAAGAAATAAAATAATACGCTAGAAGAGCTAGTTAACATACCTTATGATAACGGTATTGATTTCTACCGGGAGAAGTAGTTCCACAGATACCACAAATGATCGGCTCGTGACAATTTTCAATGTGACGAGTTAGTTCTAATTGAACATGATAAAGTTTATCACAATGAGTACATTTTAGTGTGGATGATTCACTCGATGATTTCTCAACAGGGGACAGCGCAGTAACTGGACGTTTGATACTAGCTGGTGGCATACCGGATTCATTTTCGATTTTAATGTGATCCACATCGTCAGCAATATTCAAGCTAGGAATTTCTTCGAATTGAAGCTCCACGTGCTCTTGATCAAAGCTCGCGGGATTATTACTTGTAGTATCATGGGATGAATCGATGTCTGCGTCCATGTTTGATGCTATCCCTTGAGTTGGTGTTGCAATCTCTCTTGTGTCCCGAGAATTGGTGAGCTGAAAATAGTTGAATAAATTTATGAAGGTCCAACACCTACATATTGCAGTACGAACCTTGCTATCATGCGAAGCCAAATGATTGTGATAACTTTTTTTCGTGCGTAGCTTCATCGGACATTTACGCTCCGGTTCGGAATGACCTTTTAACTGTAATCAACGGAAAAGAACATACATACATAGCTCTTACGTGAAAAGTATGAAATCTACGTATGTTTTCACGTAGCATTGACGTGATCGTTATTTTGAGTGTAATAGGATTGTGTTCTAGAAACGACCACAGTACAACGTAGAACTACATAAAGTTGGTGCGTGAATTATGAACGTATCATGTTTCGATAATTTGATTTCAGTGTTAGTTCAATGGACCGATGGCTATTTGACGGGGTCTGATACAATTGGCATAATTGACACTTGGCATAACCGTTACGAATCGAAGATTCTTGGGTTTTAGGCCAATTTACAATCAAAGATATCTTCTTCTTTTCATTGCTGCTCGTTGTTTCGCATAGAATTTGAATTTTAAAAGTCACTAATTGTGAAAATATTTATTAATATATACCATCACAGCATTCATTTCTTTGAATATTTCATAAAGAAGAGAATGTTTCTTTCATCATATTTTTTGGGAATGAGCGTTGGCTATTATTGCTGAAGCTGGATTTTCCTTCTTTCAAACATGAGCAGTTCCTCAGAGGCCTTTAATTACCATGTCTTTTGTTGTTACAATCAAGGTTGCAAAGACTCATTTCAGCTAAAATAATGTTTTTCGGAATACTAAAACCAAAAGATGGTATGATGGCATGTTTTACTTGTAACTTACAAGAAGAGGTTACAAAGTATGCGTTGGAAACATAAAACCTGTAAATTTTGCTTTCTATGAGTCACAATCAGCGATTTGCTGATCGCTGAGTGAGTGAGTGAGTGAGTGAGTGAGTTTGTGAAAAATCGCTGATTGTGACTCTCATGAAGTGAAATAAACAGGTTTAATATGTCAAACAAATTCTTTGCAACCTCTTCTTGTATCCTACCAATTCAAAATTTGATCATGGCATCTAATTATTTTATAATTTAGAAAAACATTGTTTTAGCTGAAATGAGTCTTTGCAATCTTATTATTATTATTATTATCTCTATTTAGGAGATTTTCAGCCGCAAGCTGGTTCATCTCCGGGAGCCCCAGAAGGGGGCTTCCCTAATTACATAGTTGAGATTTTGGAGAACCCAGAAGGGGTTCTCCTAGAGGTTGGTGGAGCTCCAGAAGGGAGTCCCCTTAGTACAGAGTATTTTTAAACAGAGTTCATTATAGTTCCTGTCTTGGTTCTTAGCGTGGTTGGCGGATCATGGTGTGAATGGCGGTGGTCGTTGTCGAAGGCAGTCAGGTAATCGTCATGTGATATCCAGGCTTACTCCAGTGGTGTCCATGTTCGAAGTGTAGTCATTTTGTATAGATTGATTATATTTTATCGAACAGTCCAGCATCTTTTAGGAAAACTATTAGGGCTGCTTCCGTGGACGGGTCGTTAGAGAGGGCGTTACGTATGCTGTTCGGTATTCCATAGAGGAGCCGGATGTTATGGAAGCAGGGACAGTTAACAATCAGGTGTTCGACTGTCATAATCGTGTTGCAGGAGTCGCAAAACTTCCGAAAAGAGGCAGCACTACCCATGTTGTGGGTCACTCGGGTGTGTCCGGATCGAAGCCGGGATAAGACCTGTTGTTCCCATCGGCTCGTAATGTCATTCCATTTGGAGGTGTCGTCCTTTATTTTTCTCAGGAACGGTCCCCTTTTTGCGAACCACTCCCGGGCCCAGGCGTCTCGGAGGGATGCTTTCACCCATTTTTTTACGTCCTGACTGGGTACAACTGTGGTGGCCATCCGGCCGGAGCGACCTGTGGCAGCGAGATGATCTGCTTCACAGTTGCCCCGGATACCGCAATGGCCGGGTACCCAAACAAATGAGGTGTTTGGCGGTGCGGCCTTTTGGATCCCTTGTATCCAGGGGTGTCTGGATGTTGCTGAATTCAAGGCGTATAAAACGCTGGCGGAGTCTGTTAGGACACATATGGGTTTATTGGCGGGTGTCGTGGTGGCGAAGTGGATGGCCGCAGCCTCCGCCGAGAAGACGGAGCACTGATCGGGTAGTCGAAAGAAGTAGCTATTGGATACATCCGCTACTCCGAATCCAACCTTCCCCACGGCCTTAGAGCCGTCCGTGTAACGGTGTTGAAAGTTTGCATATTTGGTTCTCAGCAGCTCCGCTACGTGGGCCTGCATGGCACGGGAGTTGTTACCTGCCTTGAAGCGCTTGGCAATTGAAAGGTCAACGCGTATGGTTGGTTCTGTCCATCCTCTGGCTCCGTTCCAGTGTACCCTGGACACGGGTGGGAGCTCCTGATGGACCAAGTTTCCGAGAACTCTGTTCCCCTCCCTGAGGAGAAAGACCTCGTGATTCCCGGTGGTCTTTTCCAGGTAGCTGGTCGTTCTGCAGCTCAGCGTTTCGGCGACTTGATATTGAAACGGTAGTACACCGAGTTCGACGCATGCCGATTCAGCCGGTGTTGAAGGCAGAAGTCCTGCGACGATTCTGATTGCCTGGTTATACGTTGGGGCTAGTCGTGTGGTAAGAGAGTCGTTGGAAAGGCAGAACAGTTCGATCCCGTAGAATAATCGACTGTTTACAGTGGCTTTGGCCACTTTTAGTAGAATCTCTCTGTTACTGCTTCGGTGTGGTTTGGAAAGTGTCCGGAGGAGGTTTAGCCGCGTGCGGCAGTTGGCTTTGATTTCGTTGAAATGTGCCTCGAACCTCAGCTCCCGGTCCAAGCGTACACCGAGAACCTGGATGGTCTTCTTGTTGGGTATTGGAATATTGTTCGCAACGATGGCTGTTGGTAGCGGGCGATGACGGAAGTGGCATAGGTGGGAAACCACGCTCTTTTCTGCGGATAATTCAAAGCCGACCCTACTGGCCCATCTTGTGGTGGCTGATACAGCAGCTTGTAATTTCCTTCGCAGAGCCTTGAGGGTGCGTCCTAAAGCCAGCAGGACGATGTCGTCTGCATATACAAATATGTATATTCCTTTTGGTAGGATCCCAAAGACTCCATTCATGGCGACCAAGAAGATGGTGACCGCTATGACGGATCCCTGTGGGACTCCAGTTTCTTCCGCCCGAGTTGAGGAGCGGTGGTTCCCGATCATCACCTGAAAGCTTCTACCGCAAAGGAAATTTTTTAAAAAGTGTAGAATGTGGCCACCCAGACCCCAGTCAGCCAACTGTTTGATGACTTGGGGGGTCCAGGCGCGGTTATACGCCTTAGCTAAATCCAGGGCCGCTATGTCGACATGGAGTTCTTCATCCATCGCCTCTTGGAGTACATCGCCCAGGCCAGTAAAGTACGTTCCGGTGCCGTGACCGGATCTGAACGCATGCTGTCGGTGATCGAGATGGTCGTTGTCCTCGAGAAAGCGAATTAGACGGCGATTGACCATCCGTTCCATGACTTTACTAATGCAGCAAGTCAGAGAGATCGGACGGAAGTTTTCTGGAGTAGAGGCCACTTGCCCCTGCTTTGGGATGGGGACTACCAGACTGTGGGACCATTCATTTGGCAGGGTGTTCTCTATCCAGATTTTATTTATTAGGTCTAGCAGTTCGACTTTGGTGCTGGATGGGAGATGTTGCAGCATGGGGTATCCTATATCATCCGGACCGGCGGATTTCCCTTTGCTGCGGGATAGTGCAAGGGTTAGTTCATCGAACCGAAAGGGCGCGTTGATGGGCGTAGGTACAGAGTCCTCCGGAATGACAATGTTGCCAAGGCTCTGTGTGGATGCGTGGTTTTTTTGTATGAAGTTCCTGTCATAGCGGTCAATGGCAGAGAGTGAGGCGAAATAGTCAGCCAATTCGTTGGCGATGGTGAGCGGGTCTCGTGTGAGGCCGCTTTGGAGGCGGAGGGCCATCCCCCTGGCCTTTCTTTTTCCGTTGAGGGCGTTGACCCGGCTCCACAACTCGGACGCCGTTTGGTTGGAGTTGATCCCCTCCAAAAATTCCTCCCAGCTACTTTTCTTGGCATCCCTGATGATTTGCCGGCACTCGTTTCGCTTGGAGCGGTAAAGCTCGGTGGCTCGTTCCTTGTCTGGGTGGTCTTTAGGGAGGCGCTTCGCAGCACGAAGAGCTTTCCTTCTGGCTTTGATTGCAGATTTCGCTTCGGGACACCACCAGTGTAGGGGTTTTCGGCCGGGGTTGGGGCTGGTCTTCGGGATGGCGATATTGGCGGCCTCAGTGATGATCCCCATGAATTCTTCCATGCTCGTCGCTGGGTGGTCAATGTATGCCTGCGTCACATTATCGTTGAAGAGTTTCCAGTCAGCTTGATCGTAAAGCCACCTGGGTCGCCTTGAGGTCTCTGGAGGATCATCCCCTAGCGAGATGATGATGGGGTAGTGGTCGCTCCCTGCTGGATCCTCGAGAGTTTTCCATAGGAGCCGCCCAGTAATCGCTGGACTAGCCGCGGAGATGTCGACCGTTGTTTCGTACTGGCCGCGAACGAAGGTGCTCGAGCCATCGTTGAGGGTCACTAGGTCGAGGGACTCTATGAGTTCCGCTATAGTGGAGCCACGGGGGTTTGCTTTGGGGCTCCCCCAGGAGGGGTGGTGCCCGTTGACGTCACCGAGGAGTAGAAGAGGGCCGTCGATTAAGGCTAAAGCTCGTTGGAGCTTGTTCAGTAGGTCTGGGATTTTCCCGTGTGGCAGGTAGATGTTAATAACTGATAATGGAAAAGGGGATTCGACTTTAGCTCCCACGATTGGGAGATCGGTGTTAAGGTTGATGGGAGTGAATGGGATGCCATCAGCGATCCCGACGGCGACCGAGTGGTAAATGTTGCTTTGGCTGCAATTGTTGATCCAATGGAATTTGCTCGCAAGTGTGCGATTCATCTGTCCTGTGTTGGCTCTGTGGGTCTCCTGGAGAGCCAGGAACATGGGTGAGTTGTTCTGAACTAGAACTTCCAAGTCCCCGAGATTGTTAAAAAATCCGTTCATGTTCCATTGGATCGCTAAAGTGGTGCTGCGAGGTCTTCCAGGAACGGGAGGACTTTTGGTTGGAGAGGGCATTTGGGCATATCTGGTGGTGGAGTTGGAGCAA